AGGTTGTCCGCCGTTGCGTACGACACGCCCGTGTTCTTGATGTCGAATTCGAGGTGCAGCGTCGAGCCCGATGACGTCGACTGGCGAAGTTCGCGAGTCTCGACGAGCTTTGCTTCTGTGTTGTGGAAGAAGTGCTTGGTCGAGTTTTGAATGTGATCGTCGGGCACAGCTTTGGCAGCGTTGGTGGACGAGACGGGCACGACGTCAAACGCGAGTTGTGGTGCCTTTGTCTTGAATTTGGTGGTGGGTTCCGCCTCTTCGTCCGAGGCTTCCAAGTACCCATCGGCGCGGCGCAACGTCGACCATAACTTCTCCTTCCACGCGTCGAAGTCTTCTTCAAGCGCGCCGTCGTCATCTCCTTCCCCGAGCGGGTAAACGCGTTGGGCGCCATGCTTAGCGAGAAGAGAATCGACTGCACGACCGATTGCGTTGTATTGTTCGTACTGCTTGTTGCCAAGCCCAAAGACTGTGTACTTGACGTTTTCAAACTCGTCGTCAGCCAATTGTTCGTTCGTGCCGTTCAAGTACTTCATGAATTCGATGGCGTTGTCGGTGGGATCGCCTTCGCCATACGTCGCCATGACAAAGACGACGTACTCAAGTGTCTTGAGCATGGTCGGCTCAAACTCTTCCAAGTCGACAAGGTCTGTTTCAAAGTACTTTTGTTCGTTGCCCAAAGTCGCAATCGTCTTGGCAAAACTTTCCGCTGTGCCTGTTTGGGACCCATAGAACACAGTGACCAATGGTCGGTTCGACGTTGGCTTCTTCGGCACCTTGGCGCTACTTCCTGCCGTGGTCGAGGTCGTGATCGACGTAGCTCCGGCAGCTGCCGCGCGGCGCTTCTCTTCTTGTATGGCCTTGTATCGTGCCTCAAATGCCTTGTCTGCTTCGTTCACGGACGGTCGGGCGAAAAAGTAGACCGAGAGCGCAACCACGACCGCGGACGCCACGTACACATACAAGTCGCTCATGTGCCTTTGCTGCGCTTGACGTAATTCCAAATGAGATGGCGTGGGGAGCCAGCAATTTTAGCCAATCCAAATCGAATCCATTTATGATTGGTTAAAAGCACCCACGCCCCAGACTCGACACCTCACCGTGCGGCGACGAAGCTGGAGGATGCAGTGCGTCAGTAGCGTCCACCTCCTACGGGAAGATGGAAAGTTCATTGGGGGTGCGTAGAGCTTGGGCTCGACCGTCGATGGACGCTCTTGTTGACGAGGAGGGCGATGATTATGGGTCAGCAGGGATTGTGGTCAAAAGAAGGATTACGAAGGAAGGTCCCTCGAAAAAAGCGCATATTGGCATATTTTGACTGGCGTAGTTTTGCACGTTTCTTTGAAATTTTAGCTTTTTCGAACTGTAATTGACGAAGGCAACATTCAGTCAATTCAGTTAGTCAAAATAAACTATACAGTTACATGGAAGGTAGACGTTGACGGTCCATGCTGGTCCAGGCAGCGTGAACATCGTACCCACACGGCCGCAAAGACGTGCTGGTTTATGCCAGGATCGGTCGAATTATAAGCGTTATGGTGGACAGAGATGGGATCAAGTGCGGTGACGAAGGTCTCACTCAGCGCACGCGGTGACGAGCGCCGGGCGGTACTGCCTGGAAGTGGGGTTGCGCACCATGATCAGACCCACGTGAATGCTCTTCTGCTGCTGGAGAAATAGATGTTGCAGGGCATCGCTATGGCAGAAGCCGACGGCTTGCTGCGACCCCCGCACGTGCGCGACGGACGTCACAAAGCCCATGACCGATCGCATCTGCGACACGGACATGTTTAGCCACGTAGCAAGTGAGGGAATGTTGACCTCATAGGTGCTGTTTGGATGAGCCGCTTTCGTGGCTTGTTTCGACGTCAACTCTACTTCGCCTTGCCAGCGATCGTTCCGTTCAAACTCGGCCACATCCGATTCGGTTGGAAAGCACATCTGAACGACATCGTCAGGCGCCAGAGCAGCTCGGCTGGCTTAAGTCATCGTACCATGGCATTGCAGTCCACAGTGCCCCGTCGTGGTAAGGTCACTTGGACACAGATCAACGTCGGCACGGCGGTCGGGACCATCGCGAGCTCTACGGCACACGGTTGACCTTGCCATTGTACGTTGGGTCTACCTTGCTTGGACGACGGGTTGTAAAATGGAAAGGGCCGCATGTACTCTGCCCCGCGGAGGACGCAAAATGGCGTCGATACATCAGAAAAGAGCTGGGACCAGTCTGGCGCGAACGGAGATGCGACTTGCATCGCTTGGAACGCAGTTCGTTTGGCTTTTGGTTTGGCCGCTTCGGCGGCTTCTTTCGTCGCTTTGATCGAACCCCAGTACCGGCACCCAGCATGGGTATCGGGGTAGTCCCTCGGATAGCTACGCGTAGTCAGTGAGACATCATGAGCCGAACGACAAGTACTTGAGCAAGTGGTGGCGCGTGCGAAGAGCTTCCCGTTCGGCAAGTCCGATCTAGAGGATAGAAATCGTAACCATTGGGACCATGGTTGACTTTTACCGCCGATGCGCCTGCAAACACCAGCGCTTTCAGCAACGTCGGCGCTATCTTGGAGTGCACCACGATATCCCATCCATGTGCACAGCGCACCGTGATGCTCGGGAACGACGGAAGGACATCGCTTTCACGTGCTGGCTGGTTGACGATGTGATCTGGAAGAAACGGCGGCGGCATGGCCGTGCGATCCCACAGAATCGAGGTGGTGGACGTGTTGGCGTCTGCACGTTGGTGTCGAGTCGCTGAAGCAGGCCGTCTTGAAGGTATTCCCACATGATGGCGGTATCCCGCGCCAAGGTCGGAGGCCCATCGAAGGACTGAAGCGAATCGCGCGTTGAGGTCTGTCAGAGGCGGTTCCGCCGAGAGAAACTTCGTGTTTGAGATAGGACACTCTGCGACAGTATCAGGAAGCGATGTTGGCGGTGCATCAAGCAGCCCTGGCGTTGTAGCCTTATTCTTGCGGAGCGACTGGCGCGGATCGAGGAAGTGCCAGCTCTGGATGACTGCGGATGACGGTACCGGAGCGGCAGTCCAGAGCAGTTTATCGTGGTTCTGCAACACTTTGTTCATGATGACGTGCCCCTTTGGTCCACGAATTTCAAAGCGACTAAGATCTGTACGGCGCTGCACATGGACATTGGGCCTGCAACAGGATGAGATACGATTTTGATGTCGGCTAAATAGCTTACGCGTCGATGGAGGCGAGGGTGTCCAGCAAAGGTTCAATCATGCTTGGGTAGACCCACAGCCACACGTGGAGATGTTCGTCCGCAGAATTGTCGCTATTCTTGCACATGACGTGCGCAGGACCAATCGCCTCCATCGGAAACATATCGGCGTGATATACCATGCACGTTGCTTCGACGCCACCGTTGACAACTTGTTCAGAGAGAGATTCGTCCAAGATGGAATCCAGCGCATCCACAACACTATCTTTGAGCCCATGGACATCAACAACGGAGAGGTATGATGTGTCGCAAACGGTGGAGGGAGCGAGCAATGCGGCTGCCGTGCCTCGGTCAAGGCGATGCAAGGCAATCCATACATCGTCAACCTTGCCCATCTTCATTCGCTTTGCATGCCATTGGTGTGTCGGTAAGCGATCCGGCTTTTCACGAAGCATGTGTCGTCGGCGGTGTTTGCGGCATCGTTGGACGTCAGCGTCGAGACGTGTTGCATTGGGTTTAACTCGAAAACGTGCGGGAAACTTGTGCGACTTGTACGCATTTGCTCGTCGGCGGAGATGGAAATCTTTGCGACGCCTTGCTATTCTTGTCTTCGACAAATGCTCATATCCGCTACCAACATGAAGCTCATGCAGCTCGTGGACCCGCGCCGCGGCAAACGGCACAACTTCGATTACGTCCATTTTAGTTAGTAGTCAGGTGGTCGTCGAGGTCACTGGTGGATTCTGGACGGATCTGCCATTGGTCAGTTTACTTCAGCAGACACATTTGATTGGATAAAAATAGAGAGATAGCATTGGACAAAAATCAACCAATTGTTGGCGTGGCAGTTTCAATAACTGATCAAATTTGGGCACCATTGAACATGGTGCCGCCGATACACCCGACGCGACCTTCCGTGGAGAAGAGAACGTCGTCGCCATCGCTCAAGTCATTCCGAGACGCGTCGAGCGAGGCGAAGCAAGGGGCGCTCCCTCGACTGTCGTCGCCAAGAGTGGATGAAATCTCATCGCAGGGAGGTGACGATGAAGCACAGCGGATCCAGGGAACAGAGCTTCAGCACTGCGAAAGCATACTGAGTACGATTCAAAAGGAGACAACGAACAATGGAACTCGGTGGGCACCCTTGAGAAACGAACAACCCCTCGTTCTTGGCTGACGTGTGTCTAGTTACATCTCATTGCTCGAGTTCAAAGAGACGAGCAATCCCGCCCTGGACAGCATGCATCGCTTGTGCGCCAATGCGATCACGATGGAAAGAACTCACTCGCTATCATATTCTAGTGTGAAAAGTACCAGGAAGGAGCTCAGCTACCTTGAAGTGCTCTGTGCAAATGGCTGGGACAATGACGACATCGATGCGATTCTAGCGACAATTCCAAATGACGAAGTCACGGCATCACAGCATTTGTGGGTCGAGAAATAAGTGCGCAAATAATCACCCGACTTCGGTCTCGAATGACTTTGATGGCAAAGCGATGCTATTTGCATACAACGCGTAACAAACTAGCATTAAGAACGTCAAATATTCCTCACGGCTGTTCGTCGTATCACTGTTCACAAGGCTTTGGCCCGTCACTTCGTTTGTCGCGACAGCGCAATCATGCGAATTCCGAACGGCACTTCGCGTACGAGTTCTTGCCGTAACCTTCGTTCAGGACGCGGGGGTTGTGGCAGGATGTACGATTTGAATTAAGATTTGCGATATGACAAAGTAATCGTTCGGGGGGGGGGCAGTACCCCGATGAGTATAAACTGTTCAATCGCATCAAATGTGACGTTATGGCCACTATACGCACATTCTTAAGTTGGCTCGCTCGGACCTCGAGCACTTCCCCAGCCATCCTTTGGAAATCCTGCGTGGTTTGCACCACTGCCGCTCCGGCACACGACGTCACGCACGCTGTAAAGAACGCGATCGACCTCAAGTTACTTTCACAGACGTGTAGAGTAATACGACGTCAACACGTCGAGTACTTTATAGTCAGGAAAGCATTGCAGCGAGACAGTTCCGTCGATTCGTCCCTCGCGTCAATGATCTAGCACGCTGGGGCGTACGACAAAAGGTTCGGGTTGTAGCCGTTCTTGCCGTCCTTGTCATACTTGCCGCCGTTGTAGTCGTGGGCGTTTTTGTATGGAGTCGCCGACGCGATGGTCGCAGCACTGGCAGTGGCGGCAGGACTCCAACTGAGGGGCGCCCGACAGACGTCCGAATTGTCAAGTTTCCTGATATTTGATTGGTTGCAAAGCCTAAAATGTACATGTGCTCGAATAGTACGACTAGTATTCAAATAGTATTACTAATTCTCCAACGTACGATGTACTACGTAGTCAGTACAGAAGTCCCTCGGAATAACGAACCCATGGTACAAATCCATTATTAGAGGTATTAGACTATAAAATCTAAAAGGTATATTCAATGGGTTACTTCAACTTGATTGGTTAAGAAATTTCCATATGGTTTTGTGCAAAAGCACTCGGATGGCAAATTGGACCTCAAATTCGAATCGAATTCAAGAGGGGGATGATACCCTGGCAACCTCCAGAAGACAAAACGCACACCATACACATTTAGTTGATGCATTTTCATTACAAATTACGCATACTATCTACCAACTCGTACACGTCCTCGACTTTCAAAGGCGGGTAGGTGAGGTTAGTGCATTGCTTTACGTGAGTTATTGGTGACATTGGCGAGCTCGCGCTCACAAAAGTTGTTAAGCCATCCGGACATGGTCGACTTAGGGGGGTCACGCGGGAGATTAAATGTAGTTCGGGCCCATCTACGCAACTCAGCACCATGATTCGCTGGATTCGACTCATGATATTGGAGTACAGCGCGTTTCTGCTCGACGGTCAGTCGTAGACTCGACGACTGTGATGGCGTTAGATCACCAAGTGTATCAACATCTCTCTCTGGTCATGCTATTGTTTCAAAATTTCAATTACCTCTTTCAAGTTATGTATTTTGCATATCGATTCTCAAAGGATATAAATTTATGGTGGGTTCGCTATTCCGGGGGACTTCTGTATGTCAATCACATTGCCTACACATAGCGTCGCCCGACGATGCACGCTGTCTTGCGCGCCTTCCGCCGGGAGCTGCACGCATTTCCTGAGCTAGGTTTCAAGGAAACACAAACCCAGGATCGAGTGAAGAAGTTCTTGATCGAGCATGCGAAGATCCCCGAGGAACACATCCGACCGTGTGCTACAACGGGACTAGTCGTGGACATTACGTCTTCGTCGACCGGTCCACCCTCGACGACAGCCGTGACTTGTATTGCATTTCGAGCCGACATGGATGGTCTCCCGATGACAGAGAACAATCCACATCTACCCTATCGTTCCCAGCATGTCCAGTGCGCCCACATGTGCGGCCACGACGGTCACATGGCGACATTAGCCGGCCTTGCCGTGGTTCTGTATGCCCGCCGCGACATCCTCCCTCAGGGTACTATCGTTCGACTTCTCTTTCAACCGGCAGAAGAAGGGCCGGGTGGCGCAGTTCCTATGATCGAAGGCGGCTGTCTTGACGGTGTCGATGAAGTGTATGGGTACCACAACTACGCATTTCCCCTTGGCAACCTCCACGTTCGCAGTGGTCCAGTTATGGCCCACGAGCAAGAGTTTTGTATTACTGTCACTGGAAAAGGTGGTCATGGCTCTGCGCCACATGTGTGTCTAGATCCCATCATCGTGGCCACGCAAATCGTGACAGCGCTTCAGACCATCGTGAGCAGGAGTCTGTCGCCGTACGCCAGCGCCGTGGTGTCGGTCACGACGTTTCACGCCGGCGAGACGTCCAACGTGATTCCGTCCACGGCAACGTTGAGTGGCACCATGCGCGACTTCGACCCGGCTGTGGCAGCAATTCTTCGCAACCGCATGGAAGCTATCGTGCACGGCACGTGCCGCATGCACGGCGCAGTGGGGACTGTGACACTCGTGGAGAGCTACCCCACCGTGGTCAACGCTCCGCTCCAAACGCAGGTGGTGCAGGAAGTTGCATCCACCGTCGTCGACACCGTGTCTGAGGACGGCCTACCCATGATGGCGGCCGAGGACTTTGCGTACTACTTGGCAGAGCGTCCGGGGTGCTTCTTTTTCCTGGGCACCCACGAGCCGTCATCGAACGAAGCCAGTCAAGGACGAGATTTGCACTCGGACACGTTCGACTTTAACGACGACGTGCTGCCTCTAGGCGTGCGGATGTTTGTGGGGCTGGTCGAACACCGCTTTGGATGTAAGCTAGTCGAGTCGGACGATGCATGGAACGACCTATTTGAGTCCGACGGTTGGACTGGAGATGTTGGGAATTAACTAATGACACATCGAGACGCGTCGGGTTCGTGAAGCAGCGCGGCCAGGTCGTCGTCGCTCAGTGCAGGTCCCGCTGCGTCGCTATTGACCGGGAAAACTTCGTGCACGGGCAGCGCCTTCATGTCTCGTCGAATGTAAAACAAAATGTACGCAGACGGCGACACGACGTCCTTTTCGTCAATGTCACGGCACAGATGGTCGTTGAAGCACTTCCATCGCTTGTCGCTTTCGCTGAACACGGTTGCAACATAGTGGCCGCCGCCGAGGACGCCAATGTGGTTGACAACGGCGTACAGGTCGTACACGGCCGGGTACTCTTGGGTGGCGAGCTTGCCCCCAAGAAACTGCCAGTACTTGAGGCCAGCGTCTTGCGTTGTGCGCACCAAGTACGGTTGCAAGTCGAGGCCTTTCAAAGGAAACTGGACAAAGTTTCGGAGCTTCTTTCTGCACGTGGCTGTGTAGTGAAAGCGCTTGAGCTGGATCACAAGCAGCGGGGGCACGCGCCAGAGGTCCATCTTCTTGGACGCTGGCTTCAGCGATTTACATTGACTGCAGTATGCCTACCAAACACACTGTCACGACGTGGTTACGTGCAGAGCGACGATGGCTCACTTCGTCGAGCAATTCGCTGGCCGTAAAGTCCTTCAAGCACGAATGGAGACTCAGCACGGCTTCGACCTTGGGTTGGTTTTGCTCAAACGAATCGTGCACCTGAACGACAGTCAGGCACAGAGACAATTGGCGACGCACCTGCACTTTGCTCGCTTCGGTGGCATCGTAGTCCTCGGCCATCGTTTGAATATCCCAATCGATTGCGATTGTTTCGCGACCACACACTTGGAGCAACGAGTCGGGGTGGCTACTGACCAAACACCCCCGACACCCACTCAACCACGAACACCGCGAGCACGCCATTCCGTCCATCGTGACCAAGCGAAGGCAAAAGCCAAACCGCGTGAACTCTACAAGTCTGTTCAATCAAGCAGGCACAGGTCATGTCGAAAGACCTAAGTGCTTGCCGAGCGCCACCGTTGCCACGTCGCTAGGCATGGGCGTCATGACGCGATGGATTTGAGCTGGGTCCGGCAGTCTCGTCCAGTGAAAAATACGCCGAAGCCGACGCCAGATATACGTGTAAAGCTGATATCCGGTCGTGCGCTGCGGCACGATGGACACGATCAACGGCGTCCCAAATAGCCGGAGAACGTTCGGATCGGTAAAGTACACGGTGGCATTCTCCATCCGTCGGTGGACAAAGTAGAGGAAGACTTGGCAACCTCCGTAGTGAATGAGGCGCGTTCGAGAGTACCTACATGCGGCAAATCAAACCATTGCGCAAGCCGAGGCCGTTAATACCCAAAATCAGCGCGTCCCGACCAAAACGTAATGTCGTACGTGCCGTTGTCGTTGCAGGCCGTGATCCGCGCGTGCGTCGGCACGGCACTTCGATCGTTCTGGACGCCGACTGCGTCGCCAACATGCAGCCGCGTGTCCAACGACTCTGGCGCGTCTGCGACCTTCTCGACTTCCAATTCGTACACAATCACGTGCTCCTGTTCTTTAATTTGGCTCAGCTTGAACAGATCCGAGTACACGGATTGAATCGTATGGTCCTGGTTGTTGATGCAAACCACCATGATAGCGGTCGAGTTCGACAAGCTCAGGAGGTGGCGAATCGCTCGCTTGATATCGGCCACGACTCCGTCTCGCCTCAGATCGAGCGTACAGCGCAGAGGTTCGCGACCGCAGGGGAACACGACCGTGAGCACAAGCGGAAACATGTCGCTCTCTCGCAGAGGCAACTAATTGCCATACTCGCAAGACAGTCCCAAAACAAACGGCAGTCGTACCTGGAGCAGAGTAAACGGCTCGAACGACGCAGATTTGAAGTAGCACGTGTTGCAGCTCAAGAGGGACTTGTACTGGCCCATGAAGAGTGCGACGACGATCGAGACTTCGCGACGAAGGTAATTTTGCCACCACTGGTCGGCGACGACCGAATCGCATCGACCGGCACTGTCTGGCTGCTCCACGGGGGCCGGTGGCTCCTTGACGCGATTCAGGTCTTCGCTCAATCCACTGAGCAGGAACGCCAAAAGCTCCTGAGCGTCGTGCTGGTCGTCGTTGTCAAAATGCTGGTTGAATTTGGCCAGCGCGTTTCGAAATTGCACGGGGGCGATGCTCTTCTTGGTCGTGCTCCACAGGACGTTGAGCAGGTTTCCAAACGCGACCGCGAGTTTGCCCTGTGGAGGGAGGGTGTGTCATGGTCGTGGGTTGCAGAGGAACGTCGCTCACCTGCGTCCCGAGTTTGTTGGTCACGTTCAAATCGTAGCGGAAGTGGCCACTTCGAAAGTAGTCGCAAAGGAGCCGCGAATGGCTCAAACATTGAATCGCACTGCTCATGTAGCACGTGTTGCCTAGGTTGTCTAGACCAACGAGCCCATACGACGTTGACGGCGGCCTGACAAAGTCTGCTCTCGGCGAGACCGGTGCACCCTCCGACTGCCGACCGATACCTTAGTCCTGGACGTTTTCGTCAAACGTACCTGCGACAGCGGCCACGACCCATCCGAGTCTTGGAGTTCGACAATCAAGATCGAGTCTTGAGTAAGCTGATCGAAAGGAAGCGCGTCGTCCGGCATCAACACCTGGGGATTTGCCATCGTCAGTTGCGGCCCAACCTGCTGCTGGGGCATACCTTGGACACGGACGTTGTGCACCACAGCCGGGTCTTTTTGTCGCGAACGATCAACACATGGCAGCAGTCTTGAAGAATCGCGCGGGCGCGACTGAATCGACCCACGACGACCTCTTCCCCACTCACCGTGACGTCTCCACGAGAGTCTGTCCGGCCGACCCGAAGGACGAGTGGATAGAGCTCTAGCTCCATCGACGGCAGGTACGTTCGGCCGAACGGTGGGCCACCGCCGTACCAGTGTCCAAGTGTAGTGTACACGGGCTCTGGGACCAACTGCAGCAATCATCCACGGGCTCAGGACGCATTTTTCAAGCACGCGAACTTGGCGGCTTACGTGAAAGTGCTGTCCCACGACCATGTCGAGCTTGAGCCGCCGACTGCCGTGTCGGTACTGTAGACTCCAGTTCTTCATTGGCCCCGGCCGAGGGTTGCCGCCGTTTGTGCGGTCGACTGGCAGGTGCAGCCCTGACTGCTGGACGATGTCGAGGGCAAGCGTCGGGAATGCCAAGTTGCCGCCTTTGCTTCCGTTCAAGTGGGGAAACAGGGTATAGCTGCACCACTTGTACCACCACGATGATTCAACGAGGTACCACACCTATGCAGTCCAAGAGTTGACGAGAGCGTCGTAGAAGCTACGGCGACGAACATGCGACGGATGCGGATGCTGGTACTCTAGCCACCGGGCTTGGACGATCTTGTTCTCTACGCGAGGGTCTTGCGGCTTCAAGCAGCAATCGAATTGGCAGCATGCCGCGATAGTCATTTGATCTAGAAGCTGGTCGAGACCCGCCAGGGAGAGGCCGACAAACTGGGATTCTGTCAGATTGGCAAAGACAGCCCCATGCGAGGTCAGCACTGCCGCAGCCTACGAAGAGGTCGTAAATGCCACTCAACCATCGTCCTACAGTGTTACATCGGGCGCCGCCGACGACAGAGACTTCTCGAGCAACACCGCTCTGTCTTGGGGGATCTGCCCATCCGTCTGGGCGACTTGGAAAACAAATAAGCGTTTGGCGGCGTCGTCGCCCCGGGAAAACTTGGACAGCAGAGTGCAAAATCCGACAAAGTCGAGTGTCTTCCCGAGAAAGGTGGCCAGGAGGTCGCAGAATGGCCGAGACACGAAGCGTTCCAAATTGTCAACGAGAAACTCGGTCGTGTCGAGCTTGGGACGGCCCTTGAGCGACCGTTGAAACCATTTTTCGAGACTGCAAATTTCCTCGAGAGTCAATAGCGTGCTGCGTTCGATTCGTTCGCGCACACGCACGACGTTGTACCGGTCCTGAATGTCCAGTATCGCGGGATGGGGTTTCCTGCCCACGTGGCGCGCCAACTTCTCGAGCCACGTGAAGAGGAAGGCGGGTGTTTTTGCCAGGTACGCCTTGGAGAAGTCGGCGTAACCTATCGCGGAAACCTAAATGCATGGGTGAGAATGGAGAGTGATGCACACAACTGCTTTGGTACTTTCGAAGGCTTGTCAAAAAGGGCGCTCAAGGCCTCGTCTGCGCCGGCAATCCCGCGAACGCCGTAGATGACGTTCGTGAATCGATCCAGTATGTCGCGCTGCAGCAACCCGGACTCGCTGAGATCGTACACGTCAAACAAGAGCTTGCACTGATTTTCGACCAACAGCGCTTTGTTCCCATGCACGTTTTGTGTCAGGTCCAACCCGGACAGCAGCTCGCTCCATTGGAGAAGCCCCGACCTTTCTGTATTGAGCACGTCGAAGAGTCGCTCCCCCAACGTCTTGGGCATACGAGGAAATGCCTGCAGAACCATGTTTCGAAACGTATCCTTGTCCATGCCTTGCTGCCGTCGGGCATTTCTGCTGAGTGATGTCACCCGTCGGAATCCTTCTCGCAGTTGTTCGAGCTCCTCGAGTCCGTTGTCAATGACGTCTTCGTTCTTGCCAGCTGTATCTTGGTGAGCACCGACATCATCGCCATGGATGGATTCGACGTTCCCCATCGGAATGTCTTATCTGGTTGCAATGAGCTGGACCTGCGACGCCGACACCTGCGCAAGTGTCACAAGCTCTCCGCTCAAAATCCAAATCGAGGGATAAAATCCGGATACGATTGCCATCGTCGCCTGGGTATCCGGAAGTACTCGTTGCGTCGCAGGTCGCGCGGACAACAAGAACGTCCAAGAAATTGGTCAAGGCCAGGCTCGAATATGCATCTTCATCGCATCCTGCACGCAGATTGCGGTGCTGGAGGGCGGCATGGAGAGGCTGACGACGGTGTGACCTCGCGCGACCAATACTTTACCCCAACGCATCGTTCACGATCGTACAAGACGATTGTTTCAATACGCCATGAAGCGATAGCCGCTTTGCACACACTGAAACTAGTCGATCGATCCGAGCATGCCCCACCCGTGAAATACCCTCGGATGGAGCGTCCACGCGTGGAGGACGACAGCCCCGTGGATCCAATACTGAATGTTGTGGTGGTCAAGACGTGGCAAAAGGCTCGCCACGTCCTTGGGCCATCCTGACGAGGATGTCCATGCTGACCTTTCACGTTCGTTTGATCACCTTGACCGCCGCGTCTACCGACACGCGCCCGTGGAAGTGGCGTGTCAGTTACACTGAAACGCCACTGGCCAATCACGTGGCTGACTTGAGCGAAAATGGACCAATCAAATCGCAGCACCTCGGTCCAGCCAACGACCAGTAATTCCTCCAGTGCATGTTGTTGCGCCGCGCAAGTTCCCGCTCTGTCTGCCGCCTCCGACCGTCCCGAACCATCATGACCACCCCAGCCGATGCCAAATTTGATGGCGAAATCATCAGTGAAGGTCGCGCCAAGATCCTCTTCCCCAAGGGTAACCAAGTCTTTTACAACAAGGTTCAGGTGCTGAACCGGGACTTGTCCATTGCCGTCATCAACCAGTTCGCGCACGAACGAGCGAAGGAGGCAATCCTTAAGCAGCGTAAGCGTGAAAAGAACGAAGACGTGCCCACGGAGGATGAAGTCCAAGCATACGTCCGCGAGAATGCCGACACGAAGGGCCTCAAAATCTTTGAGGCACTGGCAGCTAGTGGCCTCCGCTCCATCCGGTACTTGCAGGAAATCGAAGGCGTCAAGTCGATTCTTGTCAACGACTTGGACCCTGCTGCCGTCATCTCGATCAAGCGGAACATCGAAGTACGTTCATCTTCGTCCATTGCATCTGAATGCTCACGAGTGTGGGGCAGTACAACCACTTGAGCACGGACAAACTGATCCCGAACGAAGACGATGCGACTGCTGTCATGTACAGTCACCGAAAGGAAGCCGACAACTTTGACGTGATCGACTTGGATCCGTACGGGTCGGCGTCCATCTTTCTCGACGGCGCTGTCCAAGCCATTGCGAACGGCGGCCTCTTGTGCGTCACATGCACCGACATGCCTGTTCTCTGCGGCAAAGATCCTGACGTACGCCGTCCCCTCCTATTTCTCCGCCTTTGTCGAGCCGTATGCCGTAACCCAGACGTAGGTGTGCTTCTCTCGCTACGGCGTCGTGCCGTACAAGTCCAACTACCTCCACGAGAACGCACTCCGCATGGGTACTCTCGTCGCGTCATGCCGTTTGTCATCGGCGCTTCGTAGTGTTGCATGCGATCGAGTCCGCGGCCGTCAAGTACCAAAAGCACATAGTTCCCATCATTTCGTGCAGCATTGACTTTTACGTGCGCGTGTTTGTCCGCGTGTACAAATCCCCCGTCAACGTGAAAGCATCCATGACCAAGCAATCGTACGTGTACCAGGTACGGCGCTGTCGATGGAATGCGGCGGGGCGCTCACGACGGCCCGATAGTGCACCGGATGCGACAGCTTTCACCTGCAGCCGCTTGGCAAGTTCAACGGCAAGACGTACCATGCGTCGTTTGTGGTGAGCTCTGTTGTCGTCAGCGCCATCGTGTGACCACGAGGATGGGGTAGGATGCCGACGTTGTCGGCAGTGGAAAGTGCGACCAGTGCGGCCGCCGCTTCAAGATGTCGGGTGCGAAATCCGCCATGACGACCGAAGGTTGATATAGGAATGGCATAGGGCCGATTTGGTCGGCGCCGCTCCACAACAAGGACCTCGTCCTCAAGATTCGTGAACACGTGCTCAAGAACGCGGCCAAGTACCCGACAAAGGACCGCCTCCATGGCCTCCTCACGTCAGTGTCGGAAGAAGTGGTCGATGCCCCGCTCTACTACACCTTGCCTGGCCTGTCTAAGACGCTGCACTGCCAGCAACCTCGCATGGACGTACGGGCTATACAGGGCGGATGGAGACGCTGACTTGGTTACGTAGCAAGTGCAAGTGGCCCTTATGAATGCTGGGTACAAAGTGTCGCAGTCACACAAAGTTCCCGAGGCCATCAAGACAACCGCACCCAACCACGTTGTGTGGGACATCATGAGGTCGTGGGTAAAGAAGCATCCCATCCACAAGAAGGTGGGCCTTCGTTCATCTCCGAAAGACACTGAGTAGTGTGTTGACAGCGCGAAAATGACGACCACGATATTGGTATGAACATTTTGGCCAAGGAGCCTGCTTTCGACGCGCAGTTCTCGGTACGAACTGTCACATCTACGGGCGGACGCTTTGCCTGACACCGAGGATTTTATCCAGGGGAAGCGGCCGTCCGCCGAGAAGGAGAAAGCGCTACGCTTCCCAAAGAACCCCGAAGCGAACTGGGGCCCAAAGAGCCGTGCACGAGGACTCGCACCGAACGAACTTGTAAACGTCGTCGGTATGCCATGACTGAGTTGTCCCTGTTTTCTGACTTTTCGAGAGTAGAAGACGAGCAAGAACCCGAGGGCAAGAAGCCCAAGCTAGACGAGTAGATGCTGCTGCCCTGCACCATAGTAACGTGACAATGCACGCAGTTAATTCATGGATCAGTGCTGTGCAAGCTGATGAAGTGCCGCCTCAAAGTCTCGGTCTCCCTTGCATGAGCTCTCTGTCCGTAACGTGCTGCCGCATGACAACGCCACCTCGATCAGTCAAAAGAACAAAGAGTTGCAGAAGAAGACTTCTATGTGGACCGACTGAATCGACTCTCCATGATTCTGCGGTTGCGTCTGGAGCGATGAAGGAGGTGTGCGTCTGAGATGGCGACAAACTCAATGTGATCTCTTGGACATCTCAACTTTGCCGAGTGTCTTAGGATCTCGCTTTTTGCTCCTCGCACGACTTTGGCTCGCGCAAGCCTCACTCGGTGGTGTGCAGCCCGTCAAAACGCGGCTGGTGCTGCCTCATGCGCCTACGGGAGGTTCGTCCTCCATTCTGGTTGAAGGCACCTGATTTTATTGAAGGAGCTCCCAATTTTTACTTGATGTTTTCTATGGACATTGCTCTTAATTTAAAAAAATTGTTTTTGCATCCAGAATATCTTTCACGCATGGAGTCCCGCCCTTTGTGCAGGCAACCTGCCGCGCTCGCGACGAGCTATGGAACTGCTTCCGTGGATGCAGGCGCGTCGGCACCGACGACGCCCCTGCAAAGTACCGAGTTGAAAGATGCATCAACTGCGATGGTGGCATCCCGGGCCCCACTGCCTCCGATCTCAACGTCAAGCCCATTGCAGCAGTCACGGTACTCGGCGGGGGTGCCATTTGCCGCTGACGTCCGATCACCGTTGCTCCACCGAGCGTCAGCCCAGACGTATGGCAGTCTTCCAGGTAGCCCTGTGATGCCTTCGACTGCTGTTGCGAAGAACAAGGTGTGGAATGACAAGAAAGGCGAGAAAAATGCGTGGGATTACATCCACATGGACGTGCGTCGGCAAAGCCGCGATCGTCTTAGTCGGTAACCTCCATGGAATATCCGTGACTCCATCATGTCAAACTTCAACGACGTAGGTTCCTCGACCAAAGCGATGTTGGCTCGATCGTGGATATCGTGGAGGCTGTGTCGGCGTTGGCGTTCGCGTGCATCTACGTCATGTACACATACCTTCCCGACAACACGGTGCACTAATTTCTCCTCTTTTCATGTCCAATGCCTCTTCATAGCACCTTGTGTACTTGTGGCACGCGGAACTGTTTATCGCGAGCTTCTTCTTGATCGACTTTGCGTTCCGCGGAATCGCCTTGTCCACCGAACCTTTCGACGACATGTTGTCATTCACTGGTTTTGTAAACCTGGGCACGATATTCCCCGTCTTGCCTGTGTCGTTCTTCATGCCCAACTAGTACGTGTCGCTGTCGTTACGTTCCATGGCGCCACTCACCGCGACTTTCAGCAACTTTTGGACGTCGGGCACGTTCTGGCGCTTCATTTACCCCATTCGGTTCCTCAAGGTGTACGTGGAAGGCCGTCGCGTGATCAATCGATTCCACAACGACATGACGCCGCTCACACTCTTTGCCGTGAACGCGTACTTGCAAATCTTTTGCCTCCTCTTTTGCTCCGGCGGGGTCATCCAGGTGCGGTGAGATTGTCCATCTGCAGCAGCTCGTCATTCTCGCCGACAGATCGCCGAGACAACGTATGGAGACATGGACACGTACAACGGCGAGTGGACGTTTTTCAACTCGTGCTTCAACTCGCTCTTGCTCTTCGTCGCGATGAATTATCCCACGGCAGACAACACACTGACCAAGTGCTTTGTCATGTTCCTCATCGTGCTCTTGATCATCGTCGTTCCGTACCAGCTCTCGATTTTCTTTGAAATCTACGGATCGTATTCGGCGTACGAGTATGCCGTCCTGACGCCGTCCAAGCGCATGAAACACATCGTGCTCTGCGGCGACCTCACGCCGAACCGGATCGAACAGTTCTTCAACGAGATCTTCCATGAGGACCACGACCTCGTCGACACTCGCGTCGCCGTCCTGTCGGACGAAGACCCGTCCTCCGATCTGGTACGTGTACATTGACGGAGCATGCCATCATCGTGTCGTTGGGCAGGTTGCGATGCTCCTCGATCCGTTTGTCGCGAAACGCACGACGTTCTTGAAAGGATCGATCCTGCACGACTACGACGCAGCGCGGGCATCGTGTGCGTCGGCCAGCGCCATCTTCGTCTTGACGCGCAAAGTCGGCCAGGAAGACGTGAATGTGTCGGACCATCGCACGTTCATGCGCGCCATGGCGGCCCATCGCGTCGCGAAACACGTCCCGATATACGCGCAGCTCCACTTGTCGTCCAACAAGCATTTGTTTCACGATGTGGACCAGAGCAACGTGCTGTGCTTCTCGGAAGTGATTCACTCGATCTTGGCGCAGAATTGCCTCTGTCCCGGCTTTTCCACGTTCATTTACAACCTCACGACCACCGCGGGGTACGGAACGACTCGTTCGCATATGAATCATGCGTTGAGCAGGTGCGAAACCGAGCTGGACGACACGTGGGAATCGCGGTACCTCCACGGCGCAAGCCACGAGTTGTATTCGGTCCAACTTCCTCCTGCGCAGGTGTGGCAAACGCGCGCTTGGCATGGAAGCTATTAAACGTCGTTGTATGGAAAGGTGATACAAGGACTCACGTTTGCTGAAGTGTCGGCTTGGATTTATTCGCGATGCAATGGCGTGATCTTGTTTGCCATCCACGTGCAGTCGGTTGATGGCCATGGCACGATCGTGCTGAACCCAGGGAGCACGTACCATTGCCGCGGCGGCGAGATTGGATTCGTCATCGCCAAGGATCGCAAGACGGCGGACCACGTGACGTCGCTGGCAAAGGAGACGCTCCAGCCTGCCGTTTCCAGCCACAGCATGCTCAAAGCCGACAGCTTTCACGACATGGCGATCGTCGCGTCCGAGCAACCCAAGAAGAAAGGCAACAATGGCGGGAGCCTTCAGGCGTTGAAGAAGAAGCGCAACTCGCGCACGTTGATTTGGGCGGCGAAGGAACCAAAACCCGCGGGGCAAGGCAAACGCAGCCTGAAGGATTGCGTCGTGTTCGATGCGACCAAAGTTAAATTCGCGTCCGCCCCCATCGTTGTCTGCCTCCTCGCCCCGACGTTCCCCGACCACATGGAGTACTTTGTCGTTCCTCTCCGCAGTCCGGTCGTCAAAGAGCACCACCCGATTGTGTTTTTAACGCACAAGTTGCCCACGCGCGAGTCGTTCGAACCGCTCTCATGCTATGCGGACCTCTACTTTGTCGAAACGACCAAGATTTGCTTGGAGTCGCTCAAGCGCGGTGGCATTGAAATCGCACGGCGCATCGTGCTCATGTGTGGCGGTGGCGAGTTTGCCGAAACGAGCAGTGCAGAATTACTGGCGGATGCGGTACGCCTTGTGGTGCACACCCCCTCACCTCACGTGCTTGAGGTCTAGTCGTCGATTGCAACCCACAAGAGCATCACGAGTCTCCTCGGTCCAGCTCGGGCGCCCAGTGTCATTACGGAGCTCGTGAATCGGTACGGTGCATGGGCAATATTTTCGTTCGTGACTTGAACTAGGGCCAACGTGCATTTCATTTCGCACAACATTGGGTCGACGCCATGGTTCACGGCCGACGATGATCCCAACAGCGAGCTGTCGCTCGTGGACGCGGGCAGCTTCTCGCGGTCGCGAGCGTTTGCGTCGGGCTTGACCTACAGCACGTCGCTGTGCGACAGTCTCATGATCAACCAGTTCTTCAACCCCATGATCAAGAATATCGTCCGCGAGTTTGTCTTCTCCGCCCTTCGTGCTGTACGAGGTCCAATATCGATTCACCTGACGGGACGCTTGCTTCGTAGCACACGGCCGTCTTTCCAAACGTGAGCTCGCCCGTCAAGGCGGGGAATCCTACGCGCACTGCTGTTCAACGGAGCGCCCTTTTCACGTGCGAAATGCCCATGGATTTTGTTGGCAAGACCTTTGGCTACGTGTTTGACCACCTTCTTGCGTCCGATGCCATCTTGACCTTGGGGATCTACCGCTGTGTCGATCACACGACGCTCGCAGAAGTACCGCCGTCGGCATCGCTGCCTCCGATGTCCCCCACTGGCAGTCCAGAACGGATTCCCCCCGCGCCAGTGGAAGGCGCGCTGACTCCCTTGGTCAACCCCACCAGTCGCATCGAAATCCCCGAGCCGCTTCGGCCTGTTCCGTACGGGTTTGCCTACGTGAACCCGAAACCACTCGACATCATGACCGGGAACGATCTCATCTACGTCCTTGCCCACAAACAGCCATTCTGGATTGCTTGAGCAGCGCGCTCTGGAGTGAGCGGAAGAACACCGCGACGCCGCCATTTTCACGTCCACGGCCCTCCATCGTGATTGGCTGCTCGGTATCCAATCAGGGGGCAGTAGATAATTGGACACTCGCCAAAATAACATGCAGACGTCGGTGCGTGTTATCGCCGGCGATCCATGGACGTCGTTCCTCATGCCCATGATGTCCAGGTGTCTTTGGATGTGGTTGGGACTGGCTCCGACGGAACCGAGTCGTCTGTCGTGTTTAGCATCAAGAAGCACGGCGTGTACAGTGACGATGAGACTGTGGTGAAGCGGTGAGTCCAACCAACCTGGTTGTTCAGCACGTGATCGTGCCTTCTCTCCAGGTATATGTTTAACTGCGGGGAGGGCACCCAGCGGCTGTGCAACGAGAACGGATTGAAGCTGGGGTCGCTCACGTCCATGTTCCTCACCCGACTCGATCCACTGGTACATCACACCGTCCATGGCTTGTGGGATGACTTCGGGACTGGGTAGACGTGCAGTGGTATTCCTGGGATGATCTTGGCGTTGGGTGGATGTGGCACGCCAGACCTGAGCATCGCCGGTCCAGGTGGCACACATGCATTTGTGACGTCAACCAAAAGTTTTGCTCGGCGAAACTACCCGGTTATTACGTGCACAGAGGTCGACGTGAAAGCTCAGTCTCTCACTTCCTCACACATCAACCACGCAACGGTCAACACCAACGACCCTATCGTCGAGGACCGCCACGTGCGCATTACCCCATTGTCAATGCGGCAAAATCAAAGCGCGGCACGCCATCCTGCGTCATGTCGGCAGTGCCTTGGCGTTGCCAACCAACCAACAAACACCGATCGAAGTTCTGCTCCAACCGTTGTGTCACGACCAGTAGTCGCCCAAGACCAACCGATGCTGGAATGGCTCAAGGCGTTCTACGAGGCAAAAGATCCGTCCAAAGTGCCATACGTCCAAGTAATCCTCAACAAGTACCAAGGGCGACAGGACGACCTCAAGCGCATGCTCGTCACCAAATATGGGCCATTGGCGCCAGAGAGCAGCTCTGACGACTCCAGCGAAGATGACGAGGATGTTGAACCGCCCAGAGTAAACGAGGACAGCACCAGCAGCTCGAAGAACAGCACACCCAACGTCAACGTGCACTCAAAAGACGACAGCGACACGCCGCACACCAAAGAGGCGTCAACACCCACCTCGTCACCGTCCAGACACGCCACCGACGAACAACGTGCCAACGATCTCGCTTCATCGTCTTCGAGTGACGAAGAGAGCGAAGGTTTCGAGACCTGGCTGAGGCATTTTTACACTCGTCACAACCCGAGTATGGTACCACGTCTGCAGTCAGTCCTGCATATGTACGCCGGTCGCGAAGACCAACTCAAAGCCATGCTTCAACAGAAATACGTGTCAGCAAAGGTACGGCCAATATCTCGAGACATATTGCTCATGACAAACTTTCCAGCGGCCACTTGACGACGACGAAGCTTCCACCACCACTGTCAGAGGAGATGGCCCCGACACAAAAAAGACGAAGTCGGACCGGATCGACTGCATGACCGACGTTTACGTGACACCGCCGGCAGCGCCTCGACCGTCCACCATTCAGCACGATCAAATCCTTTGCTATATTCTTGAGTACGTTTCTTCAAACCTCTGCCAGCTTGGACTCGACCTTGGTTGCATAGGTTCAAAGGCTCGCCAAACACCATCGCATGGGTCGTCGATATCCCCGACGAATCGTGGCTCTCGCACGTCACATCGCTGCTGTCGAGCTGCCCAGCCCATCGTCCTGCCCTCGTCGTTCACATGACGCCCTCCTCCCTGGCCACGCAACCGACGTAAGCCCACACGACGACGACGCGAATCATTTGACGTTGTTTGTTATAGTTACGTCTCGTGGGTGAAAGACCACACGTCCTCAGCCACACGACACCTCGTCTTCGATGGCCAGCTGCTCGACGAGTTCGACCACGGCGCGTGTGGCTTCACCTTCGTGGCATCAGCTCACCTGCGCTTGCAGTTGCACGCGGCATCTTCGTCCTTGTTTCCCTTGTCCCGACCGTTCCACGCGCTTGCCACGTCTACGTCAGCCCACCACTCTCGCCTTGTCATTCGTGCTGGCGATGGGACTTCGTTCCACGTGGCGCAGCCAGGGCTAATGTGCCAACTCACCGTCGCCAAAGCGAGGCAAAAGGTCGGGTTCCACCATCGACAACCACCTTCCTCGCACTCGGTACCGCCACAGCCATTTGAACCGCCAAATGACCACAGCTATGCACCCAAGTTGACGTTCCTTGGGACGGGCTCCGCCGCACCGTCCAAGCTACGAAACAGCAGCGCGATCTACTTGGAGGAAACCGCATCAACAGGGATGTTGATTGACTGCGGCGAAGGTACGCTAGTTGTGCAAAACGATCTTGACGAGTTCCACCGTCGTAGGCACGTTTGGCCAGCTCTGGCGGCAGTTTGGCCCGTCGACGCCGTCCCGACTGTGTTCGCTAAAATGCATTTGGGTGTCACACAAACACGCCGACCACCACTGCGGCCTCCTTCGTGTATTGCTCGAGCGCCATCGCGCGTTCGCTCACTCACGCATGCCAGTCGCGCCAATCGTCATAATCGCCCCCGATGCCGTGCTGGCGTACGTGGCACGCTGGCAGGCCGCGTGGCTGACAGGCGTTTCCATGGTCTCGTGTACCGACTTCAACCATCCCCAACACGCGCTCCGGCCCATGGTCCTCCACCTCACGGGGTTCCTCAACATGTGGAGTGTACCGGTGCACCATTGCCACGACTCGTACGGGTTAGTGCTCGTCACTCGCGCCGGTATGAAGTTGGTGTATTCGGGTGATACGAGGCCATGCGACCGCCTCATCCATGAAGGGTTCCGTCCCCACGTCTTGATCCACGAAGCCACATTTGAAGACTCCATGCACGACGATGCCATCAGGAAGAAACACAGCACCGTCGGGGAAGCTTTGAACGTCGGTCGCCGAATGCAAGCGCACTTGGTTTTGCTCACCCACTTCAGCCAACGGTATCCCAAACTGCCTCCTCGCCAAGCCACAGGCGGCGAAGGGTCGTGTGGGTTTGCATTTGACGGGATGCAAGTAATCCTGGACGCCCCGGACCCCGATCCATACCACCCGCAGTACTTGCAACCATCTTTGCCACCACCTGGAAGCGTTCACTCGAGGGACTCGATCGAAGTCACACTTGCGAGCTTCATGTCGGCTGTGCGAAACGAAGCCACGGCAGCCATAGCGTCCCCCCCGTCTCCATAACGTTGCCAAGTTGCTCGGTAGCTCCTTACGTCGTTGGATGTGGATCGGGCACATCTCTGCGCCTAACTGTCGTCGTCATCTTTCGTGGATATCCACGGAATCCCCTCGACATGCGACAATGGATGGCACATAGATGACGCACAGGGTGCGGATTGGCACAAAGAAAGGCAAGGGACCACCACTGATTGGTCGAATGCGCACTCGATGAAGAAAATCAACCAATCGAAAAGCGGAATTCAACCGTGATGCGACATCGTCAACAGATACTTTTGACACGTTGTGCGATTGGCTGGCTTTTACATTATGACGAAACCTGATTGGATGACGTCAGCAACGCATCCCCGAGTGACTGCGCGTGTGGTTGCCTGCCGCTCATTCTTCCTTTTGCGCCGTCGAACTCGAACTGCCAGTCCTCCAAGCGCCATGACCAAGCAAGTCAACATCGGTATCAACGGATTCGGCCGCATCGGGCGCCTTGTCGCCCGCGCCGCGTTCGCCAACCCCAACACGACCGTTGTCGCCATCAACGACCCCTTCATGAGCTTGGACTACATGGTGTACTTGTTCAAGTACGACTCGACCCACGGTCGCTACCCTGGTACCGTGGTCGCGGAAAACGGCAACTTGGTCATTGATGGCCACGTCGTTCGCATCTTCACCGCCAAGAACCCTGCTGAAATTGGCTGGGCTTCTGTCGGCGCTGATTACGTTTGCGAATCTACGGGTGTCTTCACCAGCACGGAAGCGTGCTTGTCCCACATCCAAGGTGGCGCCAAGAAGGTCGTGATCTCGGCTCCCCCCAAGGACAACACCCCTATGTACGTCGTCGGCGTCAACCACCTCAAGTACGATGGTTCGGCCAACGTTGTCTCGAACGCGTCGTGCACCACCAACTGCTTGGCCCCTCTTGCCAAGGTCATCAACGACAAGTTCGGCATTGTGGAAGGCCTCATGACCACCGTGCACGCCACCACCGCGAACCAGTTGACCGTCGATGGTCCTTCCCGTGGCGGCAAGGACTGGCGCGCTGGTCGTGGCGCTGGCCAAAACATTATCCCTGCCTCGACAGGTGCTGCCAAGGCCGTCGGCAAGGTTTTGCCTGAATTGAACGGCAAGTTGACCGGCATGGCTTTCCGCGTGCCCGTCGCCGATGTGTCGGTTGTGGACTTGACTGTCCGCCTTCAAAACGGCGCTTCGTTGGTCGACATCAAGGCTGCTTTGAAGCACGCCTCTGAAAACGAGTTGAATGGCATCCTCGGTTACACCGAAGACGACGTGGTGTCCCAAGACTTCATCACGGACAAGCGCTCGAGCATCTTCGACGCCAACGCCTCCATCTCGTTGAACGACAATTTCGTCAAGCTTGTGTCGTGGTACGACAACGAATGGGGTTACTCCAACCGCTTGGTCGACTTGATCTTGCACATGGCCTCCGTCGACAACTAAATTTTTATCGAAGCAACTTTGCTTGTTTAATTTCCGAGTCGTCGACATGTCTGCAACTGTCTCTGGTGGTAGATGCATCGGGTGCATTTCACCTGCGTTTGGCCCTGTGGTGGTAGCCAAACCTCCGTACAGCGAACTGAAATCAATTCATAGCGCATGCAAAAGGAGCAGGTGCATGGAGTGAGGGAACATCAATGGCTCGGCATGGTAATGCTGGTTGGTGGAAGAACATGAACAGTGTCAAACCGGAGGTCATTCCGAGTGCAATGGAATTCCCAATATTACGACGGCGATCTACTTTCCACCTGCCTTTGCGCGAAGTCCAGAGACAAACCCGTCCTCTATGAATCAAAACGAAGGTGGCGCATGAGGGGATGCATGTCACGTCGCACGTACTCTCTCGGACTCCTTCGAGTGGGGCGGCTTTTGCACGGGCTTTCTCGAAGCTCTCTTTATTGAAACCAAGAAGGTCCAAGTTCTCTTGTTGCATGAGACCCCTATTATACACACATCAGTGCGACATTCGGACGCGCGGCGCAACGGTACTTGTCCATGCGGCACTGCAGGTAGTCTTGCGACAGGTGCTTGCAATCAATGTGACTGTTCTTCGTTTCCTTCAGACAGGCCAAGAAAGTCTGCATCCACGGAGCGACATCAGTTCTGCATGGAGAGATGCACGCGTTACCTTCATCTGGGTCTTGCACTCGCCATAATGGTCCAGAGGGAACGAGCCCTTCTCTGGCGGCTTTGCTTGCGATGCCCCGCCACCAAACGCGTTCATTGCTTTGTGCTTTGAAAATGGTTTATCCGGAGGGTTCGCAAATATCACCTCGTCATTGGCTCAAAGGCACGCATTATCCGGATAGTCGAAGTGACTCCAAACCGGATCTTCCATGCAGTCTGTTGATGGCAACGGGCATCGTGTGCATGAGGGTCAGTCATGCAAGTTCGCGGCGCATCATCCCCTGAGTTACGCTGTCTATCACTTGCATCCATCAGAGCACGTTCACATTGATGGCAAGTTGGAAGAGGACGCGTGGACGGCGGCTCAGTGGACCGCACCCTTCACAGATATCATCGGCCCGAAGCACTGGAGTCAACCGTGGTTCGAGACTCGAGTCAAGATGCGTTACGATGATACGTTCCTGTATGTGGGAGCGTATATACAAGACACAGATGTATGGGCCACCCTCACGAAGCGCAATTCGGTTGTGTTTACCGACAACGACTTTGAGATCTTTGTCGACCCAGTGGGGACGACGCACAATTACAAGGAGTTCGAAGTAAATGCGCTCAACACGACATGGAACCTCTTCCTGAACAAGCCTTACCGTGACGGCGGCGCCGAAAACTCCACGAGGGTGGACCCAGTCCACGGATTTGATATGCTGCCATGGGGCCTCCGCAGTGCCGTCTACACCAAAGGCCGCGTGAACGACCCGAGTAAGGCAATTTATGTTCTCACCATTCTCAATTGACCTGTTGACACCAGATCAGCACGTGCATTACTGGACGGTGGAAGTGGCGTTGCCGCTGGCTGCGCTGGCCTGGAACACAACGGCGGTCGTGCCGCCGATGCTCGGTTCGTCCTGGCGCATCAACTTCTCCCGCGTCGAGTGGTAGGACTACGCGAGCGAGAAGTACGTTGATTGCCTTGTGTCCATGAAGGACCGTGGAAGTCAAAAATGGACGATACGAAAAGACCAAGAATTTGCCCGAGGACAACTGGGTGTGGAGTCCCCAAGGCGACGTGGCCATGCACAAACCTGAGATGTGGGGGTACCTGGACTTCGTCCAGCAGAACGATTCCCCCGTTGCCCTGAAGGAAGACTTGGAATTCCCTGCACGATACCAAGCATTTGCAATCTACTACGCCCAGAAGGCCTTCTTGGCGCAATACAACCGATACGCTGACACCCTCGACGATCTCCTCCCGTGGATTGCAGACAAGGACGTGTTGTCGTGTCTCCATGTGGTCTACATGTCCGCGACGGCCGATCGATTCCACGCCGGGACGTTGGCATTTGGATACACGGCTCACATCCGATACGATTCCTTTATATACGTAACGACGGCATCGAGCGGCGCGGCGGCTTTGGCGTAGATGCCGTGTAACAAGTATACATCTGCACGCCCCTGATGCTCATGACGACCATGCATGTTAGCCGCAGCGCATGAAGCGAACGATGCATTCTGGAGTGCGGCGGCACAACGACATAAGCACAAAATGGTCACAGTATTTGACGGATGCGTCCAACGGCGGTATACTTTATTGAAGTAAACCAAGTTTCGGAAAATAGTGTGAGCCTACCTTCCGATTCCTGCGCCATTGCCGCCGCTCTTTGCGTCCACAGCATGTCTGATGCCGAGAAACCGAAATTCTTCAGCACCTTGTTGGCGTCCATACAAAAGGAAGAGCCTCCGCCTCCTAGCTCGTCGTCTGCTGCCTCGCGCAAACCTCCGCAGAAGAAAACTTCCCATGACGACAGCGCCAGGCAATTGCATTCACGTAAGACCCATGGCCATGCGAATGAGAGTGGACACCACAAGAGCAAGTCTAAAAAGAACTTCGTCTACGCGCCTGTCAAGAAGGCCTCAACGACAACCGATGTCCCGTCGGAGTCTTCCCCTCTTGAGTCAGAAGTAATCCCAACACCACCGACGCCACTTGGACAGCGTCCACAGTCCACACCTCCTGAAGCACCTGCAACAAAGAAGCCATTTGATTCGTCACTGCAAGCCTCTCTCCAAAACAGCAATGCTCGAACCCAGTCGAAACTTTCCTCGTCCTCGTCCTTGCCCCGCCAGGATGGTTTTACCTCAACTCCATCCTCCGCCTCACCTGTCGATGTATCTCGTGGGGAGGAATCGCGACCGATAGGATTCAAGTCGTCGCTTCAATCTTCCCTCCAGGTATCACTGCAGTCAGTGAAGGACACATCCGACGAAGTTGTGGCTGCGCCGAAGAAGACTCTTCGACAATCCATCGAAGAAAGAGGGCAAAATGCTCCCACCGACAGAGCCTACATCCGATCTGCCTCATACTCATCGCGCGACGACAAGCCTCGGGTTTATGGAGGACGGCGTCAAGAGAGCGACTTTCGTCCGACTGGCGATGTGTCCAGAGATAGGCTGTCTCGGCATACGAGTTTTGACCGTGGTGCCAACCCTCCGCATCTCACCCGACAAGCATCGTCCGAAAAACGAGGTTTGCATCGATCATTCCCACACACCTTCAAATTATTGCGCTTTGTAGAGCCACCTTCGATTCTGTCGCGCCTGGGACCTCCCACCGACTCGGATTCGGACGTTCTCTCCCGCCGGCAGACCGCTTCTTTGTCCATCCATTCCCGCGTCGGTCCGTCGGTGGAATCAACTAAGCGTGACGAATCCCTGCCGCGGTCGCTTGGCACTCGCCACTCCACCGACGACGGTTCTCGAACCTGTGGCAAGGACAAAGCCTACTCCACCTTTGGCAAGCCACCATCCTCTCGATCGCCAGTGTTCGAGAAGCCATCCGTTAAAGGCGGGTCCTCCTTGCTGCAACCGAGCGCGACGCAACCTCTTCGCGCGACCCCTCCATCGTTACAATTCTCCAAACCGTCCGTGAAGGGATCGTCACTCGTCGAGGACATCTCAACGATGGACTCGCTGCGACAGCAACTGACTTCGTCCATGGCGCTGAGTTTGGCGCGAAGCAATGCTCGAGCCCATGCCCGCGAAGCTCTTGTCAAAACGCGGTACACAGTGGCACAATTACGAGCGTACGGTCCACATCCATCTCTCGATGAAGGGGGAGTTCACAATGAGTTAGGCTCAACACGGCGCCAAATGCTCCTCGTCCAGCCGATCTAGTCGACTTGACTGCGATCTCTGTTGTCCCTGCGTCTCCCCGCAAGTCGTCCAAGATGACTTCTCGCTTCTCAACCTCCAAAGCTACGTCGTCCGTCGTCCGCATCCGTTCAGCGCAGTCGGCGAAAGCAGCATCCTCTCAACGTGGTGGCAAAGGTACCCGTTACAAACTTGCTGCGGAGCTCATGGTGGTGCAGGTGGTCGAGGTGGCCAAAAAGGCAAGTCGTTGCGGCACCAACCACCGCCACCCCCGTTGTCGGACGAGCCCGTCGTGCCGTATGTCAAATCGGAGACCCGATGGGTGCCGTCGAAAGAAAAGGAAAAGCCCAAGGACATCCAACACCAAGTCAAGACTCTCCTCAACAAGCTGACGCGGGACCAGTTCGAGAAGATCACAGCCGATTTGAGCGCCATACCTCTCAAGTCCCTGGACATGCTGAGCACAGTCATTGCCATGATCATGGACAAAGCTCTCGACGAACCAAACTTTGCAGAAGTGTACGCAGATCTGTGTGCGAGATTACACCAGCACATTGTCGCCCATCCGCTGCCATTCCTCCACGCCGCGTATCATGTATCGGACCAGGTACCGTCTCGGTCCTGGCCATTCCCTTTTCGACTTGGCTTGTAGGTGTGGTACTGGACGGCGGCGAATCGAAGCACGTTTCCGGTCTTTCACGGTCCTGTGTCCAGGTATTGTTCCATGTCGAGATGGAGAGTCCCGTCACGTTTGCGACAGTCGAGACGAGTGCCTTGCGGCAGCCGCTTCGTTCGACTCCAACGCTGACGGCGTGCCGGCAGAACAGGTTCAAGCGCCATCCTTTTTTGTGGACAAGGATCGTTTGGTTGTTGTGGCAACAAGACCAGGAAACCCCAAGGGTCTGTACTATGCAGGTGCGGTGCTAGCTGCTCTGCCATCGAGTACCGTCACCGCGTCCGTTGTAGCCGTCAACGTAAACGACCTCAAGGAGAACGAGCCACTGCTCGGTGGATTTGCCACGGGTACGTCTTGCGAGCCCCACAACACGTCCACAACCGTATACTGGTTGGCAGAGGAACTGGCCATGAAGAATGCCGTAAAACTCACGAGCTTCAAGCGCCTCCTCATCACGCGATGCCAACACAAGTTTGACAACAGCGACGCCAAGCCAAAGCCATCCGACGACGCGGACGACCATGCCGCCGCTCGCGTGCGTCGGCCCTTGTCGAGAAATCCCCCATGTCTCACCTGTCACATATTCGGCAGGCGGCGCGACGCATGAAGACGTTAATGTTGGGCAATATGCGCTTCCTCGGCGAGCTGTTCAAAGTCGAATTGATTGCGGTTCGTGTTGATGCCCGCGCTGGTGTGGCATTGTCCTTGGTGTAGGAATCGGTGGTGCAGGAGTGCATCTTCAAACTGCTTGGGCTCAAACTCGTACAAGTTGAAGGCGGCGCGCAGGCGGCGCAGACCGTTCGGTACAGATTGCGATCGTGTATCGAGCTCGTCGTGACATGATGTATAGCATGCCCGACGAAGAGGACCTCGAAGCATTGTGCAAAATGCTCGCGACGGTGGGCAAGAAATTTGATCACATGGGCAACAAAACGGCGATGACGATGATCGTTGTGCGCATGGTCGAGCTCTCCGACACGCCATCGCTGCCATCGCGCATCCGCTTCCTGCTTAAGGACGTGCTCGAAATGCGCGACTACCAATGGGTTCCGAGGCGCAAGGTGGTGACGTGCCTTGACCTCTGATCTCGTCTCACGCCGCTGTACACAGGAACTTCAACAAAAAACGCTGGTCGAAGTCCGGAGAGAAGCCGAAAAGTTGCAAAAGCTTGGCAAGAACGCTCAACACGATGATTTGCAAGGCAAGCGGCACCGCGCGGCGCATTCGAGCTTGGACTTGGCCAAGGAAAACAGCATGCTGTTGCTGCGACAGATACCCGCGGTGTCGTCGATTCCAGGGAAGGCGGCGGTCGTGGACCCCACCAACCGCATCAAGAGCATTCTCCAAGAGTACCAGTCCCTGCGTGACATTGACGAAACGAGGCAATGCGTCGCGGAGCTGCCCCGCGAGAACCACTTACAAGTTGTCGAGCAAGCGTTGTCGGTGGCAGTGGAGGGCAAGGAGAAGGAACGGGAGGCAGCGGTCGACATGCTCGTTGGGTTGTACGAGACGCTGCACCTCGGTGCAACGGAGATCCAAAGTGGCGTGCTTAGCACTCTCGAATTTCTCGACGACCTTCGCATTGACATTCCCATGGTCCATGAGTACTGCGGCCACATCCTCGGTCGGTTGATTGTTGCCGGGTGCTTTGGACTGAGCTGGCTGCAGTTGGGTGTGGCTCACCTGGTACGTCACGTGGATGAGGACGCGAACGTCAACGAGTGTGGGTAGGCTGAATCTGGGCTGGCGGGCAAGGTCCTCGTCGAGGTGCTTTCTGTGATGGACGACGAGCTGGGCTTCGACTCGGTGGTTGCGATGTTGGCGCGCGAGGAGCTCAACGTGGCTGGGTTCTTGCCGCCTGACCAGCAGTCGCCCGACGACGTCACAGCCTTCCTCAAACTCTATGACTTAACGAGCTACTTTTACGACGACGACGACGACGAGGAAGACGAAGAGGTCAAGGAGGCGCTGCACTCGATGGTGCAAGAGTTTTTTGTCGTTCAAGACTTGAACGAAGTCGACGCATGTTTGCAAGACTTGGATGCGCACCCGTGGGCTGTGTCCCTGGTCAAAGCCGTCCTGAATATCCTCTGCGAATGCAAGCAAGTTCAGCGCCCTCTCGTTCTCGCGCTACTCCGCCACGTCCTCCCCAACGTCCCACAGACGGACCTGGATGCTGGCCTCGCGTGGTGGCTCAACCAGCTCGACGATGTTGTGATTGACGTGCCCCAAGCCGCCGTCTACGTAGCCCCAGTGCTTGCGCTGGCGCTGCACGAACGAGCGCTGACGTGGCCGTGGCTTGCGTCGGCGGTGGAAAACGTACAGGAGTCGACCAAAGTACAGCTCGTGGAAGGAATCTGCAACACGCTGGACTCGTGGAACGACCGAGACCACACGAGACAGGTGATTCAAGAAAGCGGAGTCTCGCTGTGTACATTCGCAACCCGAGGAGGCGACCGACTCTTGCCGTGGTTTGCATGAGAGGAACCAAAGGCGTTGATGTAACAAACCTTATTGAATTGTACACGAAGAGCAGCAGGTGGGGGTCGGCGTGCATCCTGGAACTTCCGTGTCGACAGCGACCTCTTCGCTGTAGATCCTTTCGCTGCTGGAAGCATTGCTTGCCTTCGCCATGACACGAATGTGGTACGAGCATGACGGATTCAGTTCGTCGAGCATCGCCTGGGTCGACGTCGCAGGAAGAACCGTGGCGGATGCCCAGTCATCATGCGGTTCCTTGTACTGGAGCTGGTATTCATATCCAGGTTCCATTTTGGGAATCTCCATCACAAGCGTCACTTCCGTGCGACTGACGCACCGCGGCGGCGGCACGAGCATCTTGTCCGACATTGCCAAACACGACGAGTCCGTTTTGAACAACCGACTTACTACGTGAATCTACTAAATACTAATAGTATCGTAATTGGGCAGGCGGCCCTCAATCTGCACGAAACATGAGCGTGTTCGTGAACGTCGGCCAGTGCGGCAATCAAGTTGGCGGCGCGCTCATAGCGCTAGCAAAGGAGCCCAAAGGCAAAGAGCGCAAGTCGAACAAGTCGCACATGAGATGCATACTGGTGGACACGGAGCCCAAAGTCGTTCGGTCGATTCGAGCACCTTCCAGTATCTCGGCGGTCCACATGGAACAAAGCGGTCGCGGCAACAATTGGGCGATGGGGTATGCGCGATCGAAAAGTGTTGTTCTAGGTGAGCACGTCATGGAGTCACTTCGGCGGGAGATTGAAGCCACAGACTGCTACCGGGGTGCTGTCTTGTTGCACAGCTTGGCGGGCGGCACCGGGTCTGGTCTCGGGTCGCGGCTGCTCGAAAACATCCGAGACACGTACCCAAAAGCGTACATTGTAAGTGGATGCATCGCACCATCGCTTTGCGGGGGAGACACTCCATTGCAAAACTACAACGCCCTCTTCACGTTGCGCCACCTGCAAGAGTACGCCGATGCCGTGCTCCTCAAGGACAACGACGACGTCATGCGATCCGTCTCTCACTGGACGTCCATTTCCACGTCGTCGTCAACTATCTCGTCCTCCACATCCCAATCCAGTGAGAAAGTGTCCCTTGGCGAAATGAATGCACTCGTCGCCGCCGACTGGGCGGGCTTGCTTTTTCCCATCACGTCCCCAAAGACCAAGCTGTGCGTCGATTTTGACATGGGCGGCTTTGTGTCGCATGTATGCCCACTTCCCCAAGCCAAGTTTGTCGACGTTCGGTCGGCGTATTTTGTGTCCAAGCAGTCGTCAAAAGTGCCGTATGCGCAGCGCCTCCTGGCGGGGCATCACGATTCCCATGCGCTCACCAGGCAAGTCGTGGCATCGTTTCCCAGGACAAGCGCGTATTCCTCGCTCGGTCAGGTCGTTGTCGCGCGGGGTTTCAAGGACTTGGCGTTGGGGCCGTTGGTGGACATCGTCCGGAAGGGCATTCCTCGGGTGGACTGGGGCATTCCGCTTCCGCACGCGATCGAGTCGGCTTCGGCACTGGACGGCGCGTCATCTTCGTCCATAACAGTGTGCTCGAATGGAACAAACGTCGTCCCGACTGTCGAGACGCTTCTCGCTCGAGCACGGCATCAGTTCCAAGCAAGGGCGTACCTGCATTGGTTTGCCAAGTACGGCATCGACTGCGACGACTTTACCGACTCCTTTGAACGCACTCAAGCCATCGTCGACGAATACAGCGCCCTGAACGCACCCGAATGACGTGGCGGTTCGACTCACGTGCCCAGAAAACGTTCAATTTGTGTGATGGATTTATGCATGCTACGGACAAGGCAGTAGGGTGCTCAACACGGACACGAGGACGGGCCATGCGGCATCGTTGGCGTTGGTTGTCCGCATGATTCGAGTGAGCGCTGCCAGGAGCGACGTGTTGCGCTTCCAAAAGTGTTCTGGTGCGGCCTGGACCATCTTCTGCAATAATTCGAGCGTTGGGCGCTTGAGGTGTTCACACCTGCCGTTCAAGATGACGAGAAGTGTGTCAAAGAATGCCTTCTCCTCGTCCAAGTTGGACAGACCCGCCATGAGCAACCGGCCGAGGTCGTGGGACATGTGCCACGCTGCCTCCGTGCCGTCTTGGGCTAAGAAAATGTCTGCCACTTGGGCCTCGTGCTGGACGCGCCAGAGAAACCCGAGCTCCTGGCGAATGCACCACCCGTTCGAAGGTGCTGTCGGTGGGTTGCAAAGGGACAGCTGTGGCAGCAACACAGCTGTGCACAAAACGCAGTGCAGCTTGCTGTCGACGGTCGAGCCCAACACGGCGCGCACGATCGATCGAACGACGTCGGCGCTTTCCTGGGAGTCGACGTGGCGGCATGCAGCCAGGAGAATATCCACCGACACGGCCGGCGACGCTTTGGAAGACGATGCCAACGCGGACGGGCGGCGGGCCTCGAGCATGTCTTGGACAATCGGCGCGTGAAACGTGGCTTTGGTCACAAATGCATTCAGGAGGTGCAGCGCAGGCAACTGAAAGGCGTAGTGGTTGTGGTGCAGCAACGCGACCGTAATCCAGAGCAATTGGGGGTACAATACGAGTTTTGCGTCCGGCATGGCAGCTGCGATGGACGTGAGCGTCACGAGGTAGTCGGGGAGGAAACGCGCCAAGTCGGGACTGTCGATGGCGGTCGTGAGGAGATCCATTACGCGGATGCACACTCCACCGTCGAAGGGGGGGCGCAGCACCCTGTACAACAAGAGCCCAAACCGAGCATCAAATCGCTCCGATGTGAATGCGTCCACGGCCATAGTGACCCAGTCGCTCTGCTGCGAATCGGTCAACGCATGCCGACAAAAGCTGTCGACGAGCGATTCGAAGAGAGCGACGGGAGTCGCCGTTGGCTCGACGCGATCCCGGGCCGCGTCGGTCAGCGGCGGCACGACCGAAGCGAGGTACTCTTGGATTGCGTTTTGCAAACTCAGGAACCTCATCGACGAGTCGTTGTGCACCATGGCTTGCACCAATGCTAGCCCGTCTTCCTCGACGCCGGTAAACATCTCGTCATGACAAGTCGCGCGGTCGTGGAGTTCCATGTGCAGCACTGAAAACACGCGATGGGCCACGACGATCCGAGTGGCGTCGTCCACTTGCGAGACTGCAAGGGCCGACAGAAGCAGCACCGTCACACAGGACGTCGCAAACGTTGCCGGACCGTCTTGGGCGTAGTTCAAGATGCACCGGATTAACTGTTGTGAGTCCATCGGAGAGGCCGACATCCAGTTGAGCACTCGCTTCGCTGTGTCAAGCTTCTCTCTTGTGGCGAGCCCAAACAAGAACGCGACGATGGTCGGTACGTGGCGGTAGTCCTTGGCGCGGCACACGTCCAGCCAGAGTGCGGAAAGGGACGGGAGGGCGCCAACGTGGTCGTGCGTGAGACGGAAGAGCAGCGACATGCACTGCCGGTCGATCACGTCGAGTTGGTGGACCCACGGCGAGCAATGCGCCATCACGTGCGTCTGCAATGCTGGGTTCGCCGTGCACTTTGCCACATACGACAGCATGACTTGGAGCACGTCGACACTGTGACTCGCCCAGCGCAGCGCAATTTGCTTGGTGACGAGCTGCAGCTGCCTCGTCGTCGTTGCTTTGGCGTTGTGTGGCTGGAACGCGTGCGGCACCACGTCGCGGTCTTGGCCCATCGTGACGAGGATGTGGACGGCGGCGCGGTCGTCTGGAGTGGACAAATGCAGCAGCGCCACAAATAAGAGTTCGCACAAGCACGATCGATTTGCTTCAAATTCGTCGCGCAAGTCGACCGCGATCGACGCCACCACGTGCAGGTACTGCGTCGCTACCGCACACGAGGTGGCGTCCACGAAAAAGCACCGGTCGATTGTCTGCGGAATGATCCCTACCGGGTCACTGTGCACCAAGAGTCGGAGGCCGGACGCGACGATGGCTTGAAGGTCTTCGTCCATGCCGACCGCAAACGAGCCGTCCATCCATGCAAAACACGGTGCGGGGTCATTGAAAACCGGCCCCACCATCAGCATCGCCATGGCGCGATAGGCCCGTTTGGTCAACTCGTACAGCTGCCACGAGGTCTCGTCGGTGGGCATGCTGTAGCACGGGAGCAGCATCGCCACGGAGGACGCGCTCGGGGCCGTGTGGGTGCGCTGGTCGGAGCACCACTGCCACATGGCGACGAACCATTGCTCCCGTGTTGCGGTTGTCACGACCGCCGCCGCCGCGGCATTTCCATCGTCGTCCGCTTCAACGGCGGCGGCCAGGAGGTTGTTTTGATGTACAATGGATTCCACCATCGCACAGAACTCGAGGCGAATCCACCACCGCCACCCGTTTGGTTGGGCAAGCAATTGCTCCTGTGTCGTCAGTGCAGCGTACAACTTGTCGACGACGCGCAGCACGAGGTCGCGATAGTGACCATTGCTCCACATTTGGATGCGGTGCTGGACGAGCGACCGAACGCAGCGCGCGAGGACCCACTGAAGAACGGCGGGTTGCTTGGACATGCTCGGAGGATGCGCGAACACGTCCTTTCGAGTCAAACCACGCTGTAGAGGCCGTTTGTCTGGGAAGGCTTGGGACTCCATTGTACTCAGCCGCTCGAGAAGCTCGACGTGGGCCGCTGAGTGCGTCGAACTGAGTGCCAGCGTCGCAGAGATGCGCTGGTCGAGGCTCAAACTGGAGAGGTACTTGCTTTGGTGTTGCAGGAACGCCCCCACGACGTCCGCTTTGGTCGCGGTGGCGGTAGCACAGACGAAGATGGACAGATTTCGCCATTGACTGGGTGTGCAAACGTCGGCATTGTCGTCGTCGTCGGGCAGATGGGGCTCAATGGCGAACACCCTGTCCGTGGCTGCAGTCCACACGTGGTCGATCAGGTTGGGGCAGATCTCACACAGACGTGGAAAGAGCGTTGTGAGCGACAGCGACCAGAGCCACTCGATGTCCTGACTCGATGGCTGCGCTTCCGCACCCTGTGTCCTTGCAAGCCACTGGATGACGCCGCCAGCTTCCAGCGCCAAGTGCTTGTCAGCTGCCTGTAGCCCCAGTGTCTTTTGGAGGTCGCCGTCGATCCCGGTCACGATATCCATCGCATTAATCTTGGTCGACTGCAAGCGACCCTGCCGAAGCGCTCGGACGGCGTCGAGGACCTTAAGTGCCCCGCGCCGTACTTCAGTGTGTGCATGGCAGAGCAGAATGAGGCCAAGCGCCTCGAGAGGCTCCAAGTCCGAGTCCAGGGTGCTCCAGGTCGGCACCGCCGGATCCTGAATGATCGAGTGGAGAACACCGACCAAGGTAGAGGTCGTGCCAGCCTTGGTCGACTGCAGGGTGCACGCCACGAGGGCTCGGAAGATCGAGCTGTCGCCCAGCGTGCGAGCGAGGCAGCTCAGCGTCCCTGCCCCAGCGATGCGCAGACACTCTTCGTCATGGATGGCGCTTCGAATGAGTAAATGCAGCTTCGTTTCTGCGTCGAATGTCATGTGTGAGTACAACACTTGTGTGCAGTAAATCGCTGCTTCCAACGTTTGCGTGGCGATCCAGTGCTTAAACTCGTTGGCTTTACCAGAGCGAATCGGGGCGTCCAAATGGCTGCGGCAAGCCATCAAAACGTGGTTGACCACGTCGCCCAGTGCAGGAAGCGCCTGAGCGAGCGCTGTACTGTCCAGCACGAGGGAAAAGTGCGCAGCCATGGTCGGACTGTGTACGTGTCCGGTGTGCTGCAGCACGTGCCATAGCGACTGGAGCCCCACGAGTCGGCGCACTTCATAGATCGAATTCGCGTCAACGATCAAGTGGTGGATGTGGTTGTCGAGGGCATATGGCATGTTGTACGCCGCGATGCACAGGGATAGACGCGACAGAACAGAAAAGATCACACGCATCTTCTTGGTTTTGTGCTTGGAATTGGTAAAGCACCATGCTTGGATAGCATTAACGATCTCCATCACATCGGCGTCTGCGGGGGCGATCGCAGAGCGTGGCGCAGTGGAGGCGGCCACATGACGCTTGATGAGATGCCGCAGCAGGAGCTCCACCAAGTGCAAGAACGGGATCGACGCGTTGTGCTGGCCGTATGCTTGTAGCAGCGCAAGTGCGTCGACCTTCCACCACTTGCAGAACATGTCTGCGTTGGATAGCATGAGCACGGCTAGCCGTAAGTGCCACGCCACGACTGAGAACCTCTTCTTCATGCTTTGCTTGACCCCAATCGCATGCAGGTCTCCCAGAAGCGACGTCCAGTCCGCTGTCGTGGCAGCGTCACAGCCATTGACGTCGTGATATGCTCGAATGCCCGCAGTGGATAGCCCAGTCAGCTCTCGGGTCAAAATGGCGGCAAGCACTTGCAGTGCTACGAGTCGAACCGTGGGCTTGTGGACCTTGTGCGTGCAGGAGGTGAGAATCCTGAGAAACGACGTCGACGCTTGCGCTGCCGCATCGAATGTGGCGTGAGGACGGATGAGACACAGCCGCAACGTGGAAAAGTTGTTGATGTAGCTTTCTTTCGTCACGCCAGTCGCAGCCAAGTGCTCCAGGTCGTTGAGGAAGTGCTGCTTGATGGACCGGATTGCACTGGTCCCCATGAGCCCGAAGTTTTCCTTCCACAGGTTATGCACGGCCTCCTGGAGCAAGAAATCATTCGTGGGCTTTGATGGCGTCGTATTGAATCCAAAAAACGACCGGTTGGCACCCACGCAGCTCTCGAGTCGGTTCCATTCCGAGAGCACATTGAACGCCGCTGCGATGAGCGTGTCCCACACAGGGGAGTCGGACGATGCGTTCAGAGAATTCCGCAACACAGTCCTGAGCACGTGTCCCGTGAGCCACAAACCCACATGTCCAAAAAGCGATCCATCCAGTCGACCCGATTGCCACTCGAGCAGGGTGTCGATTGCAACGGCAAAGTTGCGCGATGCCATCACGGCCCACATGGTGCCAATGCGCTCGACTTCCGACAGACACACGTCGTCCTTACGTTCCTCTCCCATATTGGACAACACGGTCGACGCATGTGTTGCCATAAACTCATCGAGCTCCCGCTTCAAGATTCCCACGAGGTCGTCCATCGTATTTCACGCAATCCACAATTGCCACACGATCTTCTGTCCGGTAATTATCCGTACGCAACGGTCAAGTAAGATCTTGGAAAGGTCGAGCGGTTACAATGCCCGGCGGCATGGGACAGCACCACATCAATGATCTCGCGATGGAGAATGATAGCGAAAATAAGATTATGCAGCGGCATTAATCGGCGCCGGTGAGTTTGTGGGTCGCGACGGGGTGGTTCGCCTGCCCTTTGACTTCGTCCCACTGCACGTTCAACGTGCGATCGTAGAATTGGTCGAGGTCCGACCGACGGTCGCTCAAGTCAGTACGGCCGGCCTCCTTCTGCTGCTCGTTGAGCACGCCATGGCACACGTTGCAAACGCGTTGGAGCTTGTGATTGGGCGCACCACCGTGCAGTTTTAAGCGGTTGTCGAACCCCTTCGGAAACTTGTACGCTGCGACCTTGCCCGACGCGCATTCCGCGCAACACAATCGACCGCAGTACCGACAATGGTGGCGTCGATTGCCCAGCGAAAACTTCTTGTCGCAAAGCATGCATGCAGGGCGAGACTTGTCATCGATCCATACCGGCGAGTTGGTCACCTTGTGCAGTAGTTTCTTCAGCATGGCCTTATCGACCTTGTCGTAAACCATCTTGTTGTTCTCATCCAGCGTGTCGAGGCGGGCGCCGTGGCGGACGAGACGCAATGCTATCTCATTGAGGCCCTTGTCCAGCGCCACATGCAAAAGTGTCGACTGGTCCACGGCTGCGTTCGGGTTGGCGTTATGGCGGAGGAGCATTTCACAAAGCATCGGGTCGTCCTTGTTGGTCGTGATGATGTGCACGCCCAACGGTGTTTGGTTGCGGATATTGAAAAAGGTGGCGTCCGCGCCGTTTTCCAAGAGCAGCTTTGTGATGCGACGAGACTTCGCAGCGGCAAGATGCAGAGGAGTGTTTCGGCGGTTGTCAGGGACGTTGATGATGGAAGACGCGATGTGGGGAGAGCAGAGAGCTTTGAGGACGCTCATGTGACCACCACGGACGGCAAAATGCATGGCACTCTGGCCAAATATCGGGTCGCGACGGAGTACGTCAGTGCCGGGTTGAACCAGCAACGCATTCACTTCCACTACATCCCCTGCGCGAGCAGCGATGATGAGAGGAGATAAGCCTTCCGTATCGAAGTCATATCGTGGCGCGTGAGCCGATGCAGGCATGTCGTGGAAACTAGGATCCATGTGTTGCAGCGTTTCCTTTGGCCGCACCAAGAGACTGTCGCGACCATTGTGGCGCGTGCGATGTGTGGTGTTGACAAGGTCGGACATGGACAAGTTGGTGAGCGAGCCGCGAGTGTCACTGATGCTCGTCGTCGGCCCAGGAGTGGCACGCTTACCCTTGGGACTTGAGACAAAGTCAAGTTCGTACTGCTGCGTCGACGTGAAACTCGTATTGTGCGTGGGTGTCCCAGCGTCTGTGAGACTGTCGACTGTCGCACTGCGATGCGTCTTGTGCGGGATGTGGTACGAGTTTGCCGAAGACGACGTCTCCGATCGCGCAGACGCTTCGCGGGTTACGTCGTCGATGCCCATGACCGCACTTGCCCAATTCGTGTAATGGTGTAATGCGCGGCGCGTTGTCGCTCTCGTAGGTTGGGCACACCTTGCCAGAGTTGAAGCATTTATTATATCACTTGATTTGAATATCAAGAATTCAAGTTTTTTTATTCTATATGCGGTTGACGTGGGCCACGACCATGCGAACGCCCACGACGTCGTCGTGACTAGTATTTTTTTGCAAGTGTAGCGCAATGTATACGTTTTCCATGTGTATATTTTAAATACACCTCCACCCAATCATAAGATTCAAGTCTAAATTTGGAATGGTCGAAGATTTTGTAACACGCCGTTGGGTTTCGCCGTTGACGTGGCGACGACGGCGGCGACGGCGATGCAAGATAGTCAACAGCACAAGTGCACGTCTTGCCAGCAAAGCATGCCTGTCTGTCTTGTGTGCCCGTCGCGTCTCCTTGCGGAACTCATTGACACCTTTCACCGGCATTTTTTCGATGTTGGTCACATTTCAAGATGGAGATTGCCTGTGAAAAGGTACACACGAAAGGCTAGCACACTCTTCTACATGGAGCGGTGCCATTTTGTGAGAGGGATTTGAAGGGCATGAACACCTTTAGATAGCAACAGGACCCACTCACCAAAGCCCACGGTCATTCAAAAGTGTCCTCGGCACTCGGAATGTCGACGGGTGCAGAACATCACAAGATGGAGTGCCGTTGTAATTGCACGTATGCCAACTGTCTACTATTGGTTGTATTTTATTGGATAATAATGATGCCTAACTGAAAATTGATTGGCATGGTGTAGACCGTCATATTTTAATAATTTTCCCACTTTAAGCTTCGAATCAAAAAAGTCATTCAATTTACTGTTAACAGGTTGTTGTCCTGATTGAGACTTCAAAAGTTGCGTTCGATGGAGGAAGCAGGCGTCGTGGCTTTGGCTGCACGAGTCGAAGCACTGGATGTACGCCTTCGCGGCGTTGAGGGCGTGGCTCGTGTGGCGAAAGACATCAGAAGCCGACGAGTCTACAGCGCCAGGCTCGAGCGAGCTCCTCACGACTACTACAAATGGGTACTGGCGGACCGAGCGTAAGTGACTGGTTGAAACTCCTGCTGTGCCATTGTCGACGTCATGGACATCGATAGCAAGTTTCTGAAATGTACCGTGGCCCAGCTATGCAAAAGCATTATCATGGAAAACGTTGCGTGGAAATCCGAGATGCACCACGTCCCTCGGTACGACGGTCCAGAAAGCGCTTCACAAACATGACGTGTGCTGGTGCAGTTACGTGTGTGTGATCGTGCAATACAAGGCCAAAATTAACTCGGACAAAGTGGCCAAGTTGATCCGGGATGCTGGTAGCAACACGATCGATAAGATTTCTCGGAAGCAAGTCAATTTCCAGCACGCTCCTCCCGACACGTCCGCCCAGCTGACTGGTTTTGAATTCAACGGCGTGTCGCCGTACGGCATGACCACACCTCTTCCGGTTCGATCCTGCATATTCGTGTTCACGGTAATGACGACGACTGCCGTAGGTGGTCGTGTCCGCCCCAGTGTTGGAACTGCCATACATTTGGCTCGGCGGTGGCGCGCACAATGTCAAGTTGAAAGTTGCGGTGTCCCAATGCATTGAATCCCTTGGCGCAATCGTTGGCGACGTCTCTGAATCCCGAAACGAAGGGTAGATCGAGCTGCTGCCACGGACGAGCACCGTCATCGATTCATGCCTCACGCCAAAAAAGTAGAATCGAGTAGCGTCATTTACATTTCAAACATGTGCGTGAATGGCCCGTTCGATTCAAAGTGCAAGGCCTGCAACGACGACTGAGGTACGGCAATAGCCAAAGGGCGACAGTCACGGTACCTGGCGATTTCCAAAAGTTCCGTGCTGGATCACAAGATGGCCTGGAGTTTGCAGTCATGATGAGCCGGCCATTGTGAGAATCGGCGGAGGACCTGAAGAAGGAAGCGACGCCAGGATCTCCGCGGATGTTTCGTGGAGCAATCGAACGAACTCGGCGTAGATTTCCTCCGCGCCGTCGCCCTTGGTCAATTGGCTGTGGTACCTACAATGACTGTCGGCGGCGAATGGACACCCTTTTCGATGCAACCCACTGGATGTTCTTGCCTCGCTGGAGTTTGGACGTCAAAGCAGCTTGCGGCACGACAAGTAGGTGCATGGGATCGTGCTCCACCGTGGCTATAGTTGTCAAAATTTGATCGTGCACGAACAGTAGATCATTAAAACGTGCACACAGAACCTTCACAAATGGATTGGGCTTTCGACGACGACGCCATTGGAAGGAGTCGCATGTTTAGCAAGGTTTTCACTACAACAGCGATGACTCGAGGCTCAAAGCATTCTCTGTGCATACCGATTCTAGGTAAGTCGCCGAGGGTCGCTCCTTTCGCCCACGACACATACAGGATCAATCTACTCAGCATGAGAGTTCGTGTCCACGTTGTGTCAGGTAGGTTACCCGCGCCCAATGCCGACGAACTCGCTCTCGTTGTCCTACACGGGGATGAACATCACATGAATTCAATGCTGTAAGACGGTGTGGTGTCGTTCTAGGCTTACGACTAAGAGCCTCGCAGACTCGCAGCGCTGCGTGACGCATCGAAAGCACGTCGTCAACGTGTCCGTCATCGGCAGGTAAGGATGCGGTACTGTTCAAAAAATATCCAATCAATTGGGCTAAACTCATCTTCATTGACCGAGTTAGATATTTTGAAATGCCACCGACAAACATTTTAAGTTGAACTTCATGTTTGTATAAGAATTTGATTCCTTGGATTTTAATGAACTCGCCGCCTGTCCTTCGTCTCTTCCCCTGGGGCAAAAGTTTCTTCGATCGCATCGGCATTACCGAGGCACATGATGGCAACTGGCGAATTGGAGCCTGTGATCCAAGCAAAGCGTCCGTCGGCCAACACCGTCGCGCCGCCAGCTGAGGAGCTAACGGTGCTTCCGTCTCCTCCCGTGCACCCCAAAGTGAACGATGACGATGAGCCTCCTTCGCCCGTAGCGGCTCCTCGACCTGTTTTGGATGCTGCAACCCTGTCGTACAGGTCGACGCGAAAGGAGTTGATCAGCGTCTTTGTCGCGTGCACAAATCTAAACCTGCCGCAACTGCCGCAGACGTTCTTCCAGTCCATCTTCAAGGGCAAGACACCTGACTCCAACCTTCCAGAGATTCGTGTGGAAGTGGACATCAAGCCCACTAGCGACGCCAACAAATCGTCATCGGTGTTTCATAACACGACAGAAGCACTGCGCGTGAGGAATCCGTCGTTCTCCATGGGCCTCACGATCCCCGTCCCGATCTCAAAGGCCAATTCCGAGGAATACCATTTGTATTTCCGCGTCGTCCAGACAGACGTGGGCATGGAGAAAACGGTGGCAACTACTGAAATGATGTGTGGTGTCCTTCTCGAAAGCTTCAAACAGGGCTCTCCCGTCGTCCACCTGCCGCTGCTTACCAATGCGTCCCACGAGGCCATCCTCAGTCTAACGTTGGCACGAGTGTTTCCCATAAAGCACAACGTGTTGCCTACACAAAACATGCTCATGCACATGTACTCGTTCGACGAGCCCAAGCGCAAGGACCCCTCCTCTCATCTTGTCGCGGAGAAAACGCCATTGCTTGCGTCCGAGGAGCTCGTCGAAGTGGGGTACGTGACGTCACTGCCACCCATCTTTCTCCAGCAATGCACCGACGAAATGGTGGCCGCCCATCGTCTGTGGAGCGTGCGATACGCAAACGCGCGAAAGTCGGCGCTCTTGTTCGAGTCGCCCGACGAAGCTCTTGCGAACGGCTGCGACGTTTATGCCGTCGAGGTTATTTCGGGCAAGGGCCTCACGCTGCCCGCCGAGTTGAACCTCCAGCCCGCGCCGGCGGCCCCCGTGACGCCCACACATCGTACCATTTCTGCAAACAGCAGCAGCGGCACGCGCAGCCGATCGTCGTCGAATGCATCCAAGGAATCGACCAAGCAACCCGTCGTGACGTGCAACCCGTTCGTCGCTGTCAAGTTCAAAGAAACCACCAAGGGCAAACGGCCTGTCGAAGTGACCGAGGGCAGAACGAGCGTTGAAAAGAACACGAGCGAGCCGCACTGGGGCGAAAACAACTCGACTGTCGGCGGTACGAGAGGCAACGATGACGGCGAGAGCTCCATGACGTTCGTTGTAGGCAAGGCCCAAACGAACGGGATTCAGTTTTACCGTCCTAACGAAGGCCAACCAGCGCACTCACTTCGCCGAACACTCGAATTTGACGTGCTCAGCCAGTGCGATGCCCACTTTGACGGCGAAATCGCTCTCGGCCATGTCACGTTGCCCATCGATGCGGTCATGTACGAAGGCAAGAGCGCCGTCTGGGACATCAACCTTACCCGATGGTTCGTCCACACTTCGATGCCGCCACCATTTGCTGACCTTTTCATGCTAGGCTTCCCGTGATAACCCCAACAGGGGAAGAAAGGGGCGAGATCCTGATTCGGCTTCAAATGCGACGTACCACAACTGTGTTTTCACTTGATAAAGAGCCTGCGTTTGCCCCGGGTAGTCTTTTCCGCCTCGCCGATCCCAAGCGGCACGCCAAGTGGCAGTCGACATTGGAAGCCAGCAACTACAACCCGTCGTCCCTGTCGATCTCTGAAATCCGAGATTTAGTCGCGAGCCATGAAAGCGCCATCGCCCAGCTGCGAACGTGGCAACATCACGTCGAAACAACGTCTACCGAGTGGTTTCGGTCGAGCGAGCTCAAGGCGAAACTCGAAGTCCAGCCGCTGACGACAAACCTTCACGTGTCGTACTTTCGACTGTACGCTGGCCAAGCACCAGCACGCGCGACTGTTCTGGAAGGCCGACCTCGGGACGTCGAAATCGGTTTGTTGCCTGGGGACGAATTGAGCGCGAGTACGCGCAACATGTTGGGTCGCGGCGGTGGCGGGGGCGGATCTCGATTTTCGTTGGAGGACCTTGTGGACCACGACTCGCCGCTGCAAGTGAACGCCACATACGCCACGGTGACGTGCGGCGCCCCCACGGCCCACGGTCTCGGCCTCAGCCAGTTTGGCCTAGTCGAACTCGAAGACAGACTGCTCTCGGTGGACATGCCGATTGAGTCGTACCAATGCACGTATGCCGTGCGCAAGGCCGTGTGCATGAGCCAGGCACTGAGTGTTTTGGTGGCCGCGTTCTCAACCCAACTCGAGCTCGTGCTGCAGAAAAGTGTGCCGAATCACGAATGGCTCTTGGAGCAATGGATCCAAGTCGGGTTTCTCCTTGGATGGGAAAGTCTTGTGTCGACGCAAGGGAAAGAGCTCCACATGCTCAGCGACGCATGGGTCGCAATCAAGTCGATGGAGCGCATCCAAATCCAACTCGTGCCACACTGCGAGCTCATGACGTTCGCGCCATCGCCCGACACAGACAACAAGTACATTCTCCAATTGCCAGTGCCGTCGTCCGTGTTTGGGTTGCTGCCTCAGGTACTCCAGGACGGCGGGCTCATCGCGGTCACGTCCGTGCTGTTCACGCAAGGCATCAACGAAATGCAGACGTTGGCGAACGTCGTCGGGGCCGTGGGTATTGCCCTCCAAGTGCGCATCAACGACAAATGCTGCGCGGTACGTTGGCTCTCGTCTCGTAGTGTACTGGGATACCTGTTTCTTTCATTCTAGGCCCTGGCCAAGTACCACGAAAAGCTCATGGCCGTGCCTTCGCTGCAAGGGATGACAGCGCAAATGAAAGACATTAAGTTGGACGCGTTGACGACGCTGATTGCCAACTCGAACGAGTCGACCATGACCAAGAAGAACCACCGCATTCTACTGGAAGCGTCCGACACGATTCGCCGGTTGAACGGCGGCCGCGTGACGTTCTGCAAATCTGGGAAGGATCGCACGGCCATGAGTGTGACGCTGGACCAGGCGCGGGTCATCGGGTCGACGTGGAAGCACGTGCCCATGATGATCCAGGAAGGAACATCCAAGCAAGACTGGGCAGTGCTTAAGCCCGTGGCGAACCTCATGCGCGAGTTTGGCGTGCGCATCGAAGTCGCCAAGAAGAACGTCGGCCATCCCCGCTACTCTTTCAACGGACTCCAGCGCAAGATGCTGCCCAAGATATACCGCCCGCCCCGCGGCGCCATCATCAAAGGCGACCACGATGTCGATGATTCATAATTGAGCTCACCTGTACGGATTATTTCGCTCATATTATATGATGTTCAGTAGTATGTTACAATGAGCTGAGTATGGTGGGATTTGGCGTTTGATGATGGTGACAAATTTCCGTTGTCCTGCGCTTTCAACCAATCCGCCGCGCGAGAATTCCACTCGTCGAAGGATGCGCTTTCGGCGACCGGTCTTTGTCCGGCGACTGCAGAGCCTCGCGAGCCAGACGCTGTATACGTCAAGAGCACGCACATGGACGTCGCAGTACTCGACTCTCCTTGCCAAATACCCGCTCTTAACGAAAACCCTCACAAGCGCCGCCCTAGCTGGGGTTGGTGACATTGTGTGCCAGCTTGCCATCGAAGATGCCGACGCCATCGACTTTCGACGCCTCAGTGTCTTCACTGCAGTCGGTGGAGCATATATTGCGCCGTTGCTGCATGTATCCTACGGCATGCTCAACCGAATGTTCGTCGGAGTCACAACAACGGCAGTGTTGCAACGCGTGGCGGTGGACCAGTTGGTCCTCACGCCAGCATTTTTCGTGTCGTACTTCGCGCTCATGCAAACTCTATCGCCCACAAGTAAGTCGTTCCAGCGCTCTTTGTCCATCAAACTGACGTGCTTTGCTGCTCAGACGTAACCATCGAGGATAAGCTACGACAGGAATGGTGGCCCACCGTCCAAGCAAATTGGATCGTGTGGGTGCCAGCGCAATTGCTCAACTTCCGCTTTATTCGACCATCGTACCAAGGTACATTGTCCGCATGCGCCCCACGTCAATCAATCTCATCACCTGTGCCGGTCTCTAGTGCTGTTTTCGAACGTCGTGAGCCTATTTTGGAACGCTTATATGTCCTTTGTCAGCCACAACGAAGGTGCGACTGCTTCCCGACCACACGATTCCGCAGCACGACCACCTTAATTTTGTGTCAAAGCATCTTGTATTCCTTCACTCTACGAATCGCGCGCCGTGACCGACGTCACGATGTCTTGGATCGTGCTCACGGGGGGCCGGTAGATGTCTGGAAGCATCTTGCGCTGAATCGCATTGAACGAGTACTTGTACCGACCGACGTTCTTTTTGGCAATCTTAATGCGGATGCCAAACTCCCGCATTAAGTTGGCCGCCTGCAGTTCTTCGGGTCCAATGCTGAGCTGCTCCGTGGCCCCCATAAGATGCAGCGGGTTGACGCCGCTCACACGCTTGAAGAGAAGCCGCGCCTGCTCCAGTGTGACGCTCATCGCGGTGCGATCCTTGCCCGACTTGCAGTACGTAACGCGGCCTCCGCGGAGTCGACGCACCTACCACCATTGCGTCGTCAATTCTCAAAAATCGTGTGCCATTGCAACGAACCACATCCGCTGCCTCGAGTAAGATTCGCGTGTTCTTGGCCGCAGCGTTCTCGGACTGCACGACCGCCATGAGTGGATCCAAGAGCAAATGCGCCGCGGTCGAATCGAGCTCGACCGCCGCGTTGGTTGTCTTTAAATACTTGGCATGATACGTTTGCAAACTCTTGAAGCTCGCGTTGTTGATCGTGCTTTGTAACTCGACGCCGGACGACCCGACCATGTTGGCCAGACTTTGCATTTCGTTGATACCTTGAGTAAACACGACGGGGGTGACTGCGATCGGCCCTAGACGCATGTCTTCCTTGGTCGGGATGCGGATGATGTACCCTTCATGGTCCACGCTGCGCTCCTCGAGCACAAGGTTTGAAATCGTGTGGTCCAGCTGAAACGAAAAGCGCTCGAGGCACTTTATCGCAACCCACGCATCGCTCAACATGCGCCACTCCTTGCCTTGCGATGAAATCAGGCTTTCCCATCCAATCACGAATCCAATCTGGGACCACTGCTCCAGCGTCGACGGGTCGTCCAAGTGCAGCTCGAGCATGGTCAAGAACGTCGTGACAAGCGCCGTCACGCTCTGCGACACACACACGCTCTTGCGAAAGTAATATTGGTACTTGATCGATTCGAACCGCTCGCGCAAGTGACCCAACGACACGATTTGGCCGACAATCGATTGGCGACCTAGCTTGTTGAAGATTCCTTTCTTGTCCTTTCGGGCCGCCGCTGTCGTCGACTTGCGGCGATTTTCAGACATGGGCTCGCTCGCAATCGCCCCATCGTCCACCTAATTGCTGTTGAGCTGCATACGTGATCGACATGGTCTACCTCGTCGACGTCTGTCGCGAAGGCAGCATCGTTCTCGGTCACCGGCACGAGCAAGGGGCGTTCGACTAGCACATTGCCTCCCTCCACCATGACTCGGCCATGGTGCAAGTTCTTCATGCCGTTTGCCATGAGAGAAATGTCTTTGTGGGTTTTGACCAACTTGTCTTCGAGTTCCATGAGCCCTTCGCCGGGGATTGCATGGGCAGTGGGGGCCCCACACGTCACTGTTGCGTACGTGGCGATAGCAGGGTTGTCGTTTGTCGGAAACGGCGCCTCCTGCTCGACCATATCCATGAACGACCGAGTCAGACTGCATGAATGGCTTGTCTACCACGTCAGGCTCAGGTACATGGGGGTTGCCGTTCAACCCGAGCAGGTCAAACTGGCTCGACTGCTTGTTGGGTTGCTTGAGACTTGGTCGCGGCGAATTGCTGGCGGGCCAGTTAAACTTGCGCAGGTACGACACATGCAGGTTGGTCGCAAATGCTTGAATCTATTGCACACGTTGTGCCATGACGTTTTTTCACGATGCATCCAAGTGGATCCTACATCGCGCTTTTTCTTGTCCGTGCTGCCTTTGAACCAAGATTTTGACACGGTTCGCGCCTCGGCCTTGCGGATCATCGCGTCCAGTTCCTTCACGTGACTCCCGAGCTCCTTGACGTGAGCATGAAGGAACTGAATCGAGTACGTGTCGTCGTCGCTCGGTGCGTGCATCGTGTCCCGGAGGGCACGGTCCATCTGCCAATATTAAACACATTCCGTCAAGGAACTCGTAAAAGTAGCTAGTCGTACCGCTTGGGTGGCGAGGCGGAAGAGTGGAGTCTCGTCGGCTTTGCCTTTCTTTTGAAAGTGGGTTTCGCGCTCGGATTCAAACGAGAACGTAGCGGACGTCAACCGGACCTCGATTTCGCATTGGACTTCGCCAACCACGTCGCCGTGCTTGGTCTTGAGTGGGAACCAGTTAGCGCTGCGGAACGACACGGCGTTCGGTACGACCGCGTTCGTGTCGGGAGCGAAGAGCGGTCGCATCTCCTCCAGCGTCAGCGTGACTGACCCCAACGCAATGGGGGGTTGGTGGCTGTCGATTTCGTTCTCGCTGCATACGTCGATTTGGACTGCGCCCGAGATTTCTTGGCGGCGCGACGGGCGGTACCACACAAACTGCGTCTGGCGCTCGACTTTGGTGTGCAAATGAGTTGACACAAAGTAGACTGTGGACGGTGCTCCATGCGGACACAGCGCCGCCTGCGCGTTCACTCCCCATGTCGGTGCCGTGGACTCGTATTCCGTATTCGTCTTCCCGACCACTTGCCACGGCGTGCTATTGATGTTGGCGTGTGGAGCGGGCGTCTCGTTGAACAGCACGACTGCAAATGGGTGGACACCGACGCTGTTGAAGCCGTCCGACGGGATTCGGCCGCCGCCGCCTTCGACACTTGCTGAAGCGGGCTTCTTGAACGCCTTGGGACTCAGCAACGGCTTGCTCGGCACCTTCCGCATCGACTTTATTGGCTGTAGATTGCGAGCCTGCAGCACCGTCACGCGAAAGACGTCGCAGCCACTCTGCATCGCTTCATCGGCGTCGGCGAAGTGCTTCAACCGCTTCTTCGCGTTGTTATAGCGAACCCGCCACAGATGATAGGCGCCTTCGAGTTCCCGACGGCACTGTCGAAGGAACACGAGCGGAAGTTGCACGCTCGGCTCGACCTCAGCCATCTCTTCCGTGACGAGGGTTGGCAGCATACTCGGGTTTGCGTTCGGAAACGCGTACCCCAACACGACTTCGTTCTGTGTCGCAAGCAGCGGATGACGTACGGGCGCTGTCCGAGCAAAGCGCAGGGTAAGCACGCCGGCGTCCGTGTATGGAGATTGCAATGGAAGATACACGACGGACGCGCCATGATCGTAGTTTTGCTTGAGATGGGACCAAGCGAGTTCGGCCGAGGCGACAGGCTTCTTCCCTTGCGACCCGCTCTCTTCGGTCATGATCACTTGGAAGCACACGATAGAATCGAGAGGAATTGACGACATGACGGTGGAAAAATGGATCCCAACGGTGAACGCAGGGTTGCGACTCCGAAGTTTCTCAGTCGTTAATGACTCCACAACGACGAGAGGCCCGCGATGTGGGTTCTTTACATCGACTTGAATCATACATTCAGGGGGTTTGCTGCTTTTGGGTGTCGAAGCACCTCCGAGCACGGACATGGCGCCACGAAGCATGGTTTGCGCCGTCGTGTGCACGGCCGGCAGGTGGAGGTCCGAACACGACAGAAAGAACGTGATCGAGGACTTCCCAGGGCCCACTGGTTCCGGCGGTGGTGGTGGTGGTGTGATAGTAAGTGCCTGGACGGCTTTCTCATGGCGCGCAACCTCGACAGGACGGACGGGTGCCGGCGGCGCGCCAAAGAGGCTAAAGATTTCGTCGTTCATGGCGTTCTTTCGATTGATTGTTTCGGCTCGCCCCAATATACCGAAACGGTCCATGAAATGGACCAATCAGACGCCGCCATCCGAGAAACGGACGCCGCTCAGGACTCCAAAGTCGATGCGCGAGCAGTGAAGGACACGCCTTCTCGCGATGGCTACGACGCCGTATGGAGCTAGTGCAAGCTCTCGGATATGCTACAATCCTCAGACTGAAAGATGTGTGGATATCCTGCGTGAGCGACGCAAGTCCCCTTTGGTTGGTCGAACATGTGTGAAAAGTGTCGTGTGTGGTGTTTGGCCCATGATCCCCACTCAATGCCATTCCCGAGGTTAAGACGCTTCACTTCGTACTGAGTTGTAACGATTAGCCAAAACTCCTTGCCAGACACGTTGGGTTGATGAACCCGCGTTACGGCACATCTTCACCACGTCCAAGGGAATGCATGAACCACCTGTGAACTTAGCTCGTCTCGACCATGTAGTGATGTTAGTGGATCATGCTTTCGTGCATACTAGTATACACTGCAAGGCAAGTGATAAGTGACGTTCAATTCCTAGTCTCGTGGGCGGCGGTAAAACAAGCAATTGGACAGCCATATCGACAGGCGGTCAAACCACTGCACAGACACACTCCATGATGGCCTGCTGCAGGCAGTGGATCTGCGTTTGTTGGGCGTGCTGCGGCACCGTTCGTTGCTGTGGGGCGTCGTTGGTGCGAATGGTATGGTGAACACTTCGCTGGCGTTCGGCCCTCTCCTCCCCCACGACTGAATCGCGTTTGTCCCTCCGATCGATAGAACCAAAGCCATTCCATTCTCACTCCACTCTCGGCGACACCATACGTCATGGCAAATTTATTCCTCCCAACTCTTTGAAGTGAGCGAACTCAAATACCCAGAGAGCATCACGTTTTCAATCTGTCTCTTGGGTTGTTCCAGTGCGACGAGGGGCACGACCTGCGACTCGTCATGCTCGACTGCAGCGGCCAGGCCGACGGCGCAGCAACTAGAATCGAAGAACAACGATGCACCCAACAGGAACGGCAAGTGTGCGGTGACGTCGTAACAGCAGACCCATGCTTCTCTGTTGTTCGATATCCCCTTCCTCCTTTGTGGTGCAATCGTGTTTCAGCACCAACGTCCAGACAGAGTCGAACCATTCAAACGCGCCGTTGGGGTATGGTGGTAAGAGCGTGGGAAGGCAGCGGCAGCGACCCGGGTCCACTTCGCCGTTGCGACACTTCCATCACCCGAAAAAAAGTGCTGCAGCTTGCGCGAATCTTCTTCCAAGAGACGTTTTTTTGGGTTATCGACTTTGTACGCGTGCTTTTTGGGTGATTTGCTGGCAAATTGCCTAAGATCAGTTCAATATATATCTCGAAAAATCCGACCTCTCAGCTTCTTGGCCAAGGCCGACCAAACGTCCATACGCAGTGCCATTCCAGGGACGAAGCTGCTGGACAAATAACTATCTCATGTGGAACACTTGACCACTTGCGGAGATGGTGGTGTGCTCCCATCGTTTAAGGTATGGATTTCGTTCACATCCGGTGAAATTATTATGCATGCTTTTATTCGAGAACTCGCAAATGAGTACTCAGCACCACGCAAAAGTCAGATACTCGCACGTTTTTTGCCAAATAACGTAGACACATTGTCGGTTTGAGTCGTTCAAGTCGAGCGACTTCGTCGAGTCGCACTCAATGTACACGAGAACTTCACGCCGACAAGCACGGGCACAGCTCGAAGGGGTGCTTCTCTCAGCAGCGCTTGTGTGCGTGCACGGTTGTGTTGCAAGAAGGTCCTGCCAAGGCGCTTCTTTTTGGTGGAAGTCGCCTTCCCTCGAGAAAAGGGTCACGCTTTATACGTGGTTTTATTATTTCATAAATGGACCTTGAAATATGTGTATATTGCTGACGCGAGAAATAGCGTCCCAAATAATTGCATTTCGTGGGAGGATGGAAGGCAAGAAGGCGCCCGTGCTGGCGTCCTTGACGGTCTTTCTCACCTGCTACAATGTGAACGCTGCGCCGAAGCCACAAGGGTTCCTGGAAGGAGCGATCAAGTCTATACGCGGGCAGACAGAGACCGTGGAGTGTCAGATTCGCATCGACCGACTCCATCAAAACAAACAAGACACGTTCTTCACGGAAACGGTCCGGTCGCCAAATCCTGCGTTTTCGTTGGGGATCCAGTTGCCTCTACAAGACGGCCGTGCCTCGCCTGACGAGAATGGCCGGGTCGCTCTCACCACCGACATCCTGAGCTTCACGTTGATCCGCACACAGGACAACTGCACGATTGGGTCCGCCTCGATATCCGTGGACCGCCTCGTGACGATGCTAGCACGTGACATCACGATCGACCACATTCCTTTTGAGATATTTGGTAAGGCGTCCAAGAAGAGCGGTGGCGATCCCGCGCTTCGAATCACGGTCGCGTCCATAACACCGACACCTCATCCAGTCGTTCGCACGCAGAATTCCCTGCTGCAAGCCTACATGTTTCCCCCAGCATCATCGTCCGACAGCCGGCGAAAACTTGTGATGGAGGAGGTAATGGAGCCCGAGTACCAGACGTCAATACCGTTTTTGTTTCTACGATGTATGCATTCCGAGCTCACTCAAGCGTCTGAGCTGTGGAACATCCGATGCCTCAACGAGCGCAAGAAGCAGCTCATTTTCGACCGCCCTGACGACGCTCTTGCTGCCGGCTGCGACGTCTTTGAAGTCACCATCCGCGGCGGCAAGAACCTCAAGGCCGACAACTCTACCGGGTTCTCCGACGCCGCTCTCATGAACCCGTACGTGGTCGTTGAGTTCGGCGAAACCACGACGCGCTCATCGTCAACTGTCGACGAATCGGCAAGTGAATCGTCCCGCCGCAATACGGACGTCGTGTGTCTCGGCCGCACGATGGCCGAACTCAACACGAATGACCCGAACTTTTCCCGCCAACGCACAGCGACCTTGACCGGTCGGTCGACGTCCCTGCCGCCATCCGCGCAGCAGTCAAGCATCCAACGGTCATCTTCGATATTCCAGGACCCTCCGCCGCCTGCGCCACAGTCACAGAGGCAGCAGCAAGTGCGGTCTCCCAACGAGTCGCTCCCACCAACGTTGGCGTCGTCGCCAGCAGCCGCTTCACCGCCGGCCGCGACCATGGCGTCGTCGTTTACGTTTTTCCGAAAGTCAAATGGCCCATCGAAGAGCTCGAAAGGCGCGTTTGTATTTAAAGTGTTTCACGAAGTGCTCAACAAGAAGGATCCGTCCCAACAGGACTTTGCCGTCGGCCAGTGCGTTGTCGGGTGGACGATTTCCAAGCCGGAGGCCGAACTTCAGACGTACAACTTCAGCATTGACCAGTGGGTGTCGATTTACCCGGCCGTGGACCGGCGCAGCCTGTACAACGACCGCGAAGACTTGGGTAAGCTCCACATCCAGATTCGGATTCGGTGCTCGACGGTGCAGTTCGCCCTCCAAAGCGAATCGGGCCTGCGAAGTGTCGAAAAGTCGCCGTTGTATCGACTGGCGGATCTGAACAAGGACCACAAACTGCGCAAACTGATGCTGGCTGCCAAAGGCGGTGCGACCATGAACTCGAGCGGAGGTGCGACCAGCCAAAGCTTTTCGTGTGAGTCCATGTCTGGGCGGTTTCCATTGTCAGCGCCACTGCCGGCGATCGAAGATGTCCAGTGGCACGCAGATACGCTCAAGACGTATCTCAAGGACGTGGAGGAAATGCTGGACCATGTCAACACCCAGCGTTCCCAGCGGGTGACGTTTCGATCCAGTGTGGCCAAGAAAGACATGCTCTCGCAACCACTCGCGACGAATTTGCATTTGGGGTACTTCACCACGTACTCGGACACGGGCAAATGTGGGCTACCGACCGTGGAAAACGTCAACATAACAGTCTCGTGCGGTGCGCCAACGCCGCATGGTCTTTCGGACAAGCGCGGCCTCTTGGACCTGGAAGACATCATGATGGCGAATAGCACCAGTGGCAACCTGACCATC